TTTACTGCCCTCCGAAAATTCGAACTCAAGCTGAATCCCGATAAATGTTCCTTCCTTGCATCAGAGGCAAAATTCCTCGGATGCATAGTAAACAGCGAAGGATTCAAGGCTGATCCAGAATACGTTCGTGCAATCAGGGAAATGAAACCTCCAACATCAAAAAAGGAATTACAAAGCCTTATCGGCCATTTAGTTTGGATCAGACAATTCCTAGAGACACGTCTTCATGAACAAATCAGGTCAGATATGTTTTCAAAATTTATGGGTCCCATACAAGAACTCAACAAGGTTAATAAACTGTTTGTCTGGATGCAAAATGCCGACAGAGCCTTCAAAAAAATCAAGGACCGTCTCTCTTCGCCACCCGTCATCTCGTTTCCAGATTTCTCCAAACTTTTCACACTCACCACCGACACCAGTGACGTTGCATATGGAGCAATCTTAATGCAAGAAGCCGACAACAGGAAGAAAGATATCATAGCGGTCGCTTCCCATACATTCAACTCCACGGAACAGAACTGGTCCACGACGGAACGAGAGGCATATGCAATAAAGTGGGCAATATTGAAATTTGATTATTTCCTTCGTAACCGCCCCTTCATCATCTTCACCGACCACAGATCGCTGACATATCTGGACCAACAAGAGTTCAATAATGCCAAAATACGATGATGGCAAGAAGAAATTTCATGTTATAAATTCATCTTGGAATATGTTGAAGGTGAATCAAATGTATGGGCTGACATGCTCAGCAGAGGTTGCGGACATAAGAAAACGAAAGCCCCGAACGACCCTACACCAGCAGGCAGGACATTCGAAGTAAGCGGTTCAGACCTCCACGTATACATCCCATCTTGGTGCCTCAGCGAGTTTAACGGTTTACAGCTCATTCCCAAAACTCACACACCACAAAACGCCCGTACCCACAAGTGCGTCACCAACACATTCTTCGCCTATCACTCTACCACCACCATCCCCACTGAGAGAATCTGCAACCACCTTGGCATCGCAGATGAACAACAAAAGGACGACACCCTGGCAAAGATCATCAGCGCCCTCCAGTCACCCACTCCAAGCGAACCTCATATCAATCCTGACGACCACTGAGATATGCTTTTCAAAAAACATTTGCACCAATTTTTTCTAGAACCAGGCACCTCCGTTTTGATGATAAGAGACAGTAAACACTCTCCGAGATTGGCTGTACCATACAAACTACGACCCAGATACCTATACCAGGCACACGAGGGCAACAACCACTCAGGTGTTACCCGTATGCGAGAACTCCTTTCCAGCTACTGGTGGGAATTCAAAAACCGCGACATCAAGGCCTATGTCGATTCTTGCGACACGTGTGCTAAGTGCAAGGACAACTACAGTAGACGTACCCACTGGCCCATTGGCCACTGCAAACGAGGAAAGAGACCATTCGATCTCGTCTTTATAGACTTTGTCACAATGCTCAACTCAAAGGAAAAATGCTACATCCTAACCATCTTGGATAGCTTCAGCCGACATTTTACAGCCATACCATGTGCGAGAGACCGTGCTATCGACGTCGCTCACGGATTGTACCATTTCTTCCTTTGACACAGAGAGATTCCACGCATAGTATCCTCTGATCGAGGCACACACTTCACTGGAGAAGTCTATCGACAATTCTGTAACCAGATGTCAATCACGCAAGAACTTCACTGTCCTTGGCGCCCACAAAGCTCAGGAAATATCGAGAGACAACATCGCATGTAATGAAGAACGCACTTTATATATTATGCGAAGACAGGAACTGTGAATGGACAGACGTTCTAGAATCTGTCATTTCGTCCATGAATGCCACGACCAACAGCGCCACCGTGTCTCCCCAAGACTATGCCATTACCGTCCGTCACCCCAACATCGGCCTACCTACACTACACAGAAAAGAAATCACAAGCGACGATCCTGGAGCATATGGAATGCAAATTAATGCCCTGCTAAAGCAGGTTCACCACCACGTCACCCCTGGCCAACGATGAAGCTGACCACAAACTTGAGACTAACTTAAATCGCCTCACATACAAGGACACAATACAAGTAGGCGACAAGGTTTTACTTCATCGGCCACACTCAACTGTTGCCCAATCCTCTCATCTGCCCTGGATAGGAAATTACACCATTATAAAAACGAACAATATGATGTGTCAGGTGCAAAACGATGATGGTGATACAATCTGGATTCACTGTGCACATATCCGACGACTGGCTCCACGCCCAACACATCTTTCTAATATAATCCCTCTGCCTCTACCATGTAACAGTCACCAGGATCATTCTCCTCCACATCTCTCAGAGACACATAACTCAGCAAATAACCCCATACCAAAACAAATGCCAATAAGAAGAACACGAGGACAACTTCCCACACGCTTCAGAGACTTTATCATGAATTAATCACCCAAATATGCACGAATAACGCTCACTGTAAATCAGACCGATATCTGGGGGAGCCTTGTTATAAAATAATATAAGACATATCTCGGCTGATTTACAGGCAAATACTCAAGAGCAAGAGCCGGATGTGAACAGGACAAAACCCTGTCACAAAATGACCATTACCTTCAATTACAAATGTTCCCGACACACGAGTTCCGTTCGAAAAATAAAATAATATTTAAAGTGTTCTATTTTTCGTCCAATAAAAATGCTTCCCTCCTAATTATACTCGCTTCGTTTTTCCAGCCTGTTAAGCCATAAAAAAACGCTATAAAAGGTGTCACACTGAAGTTCAACAAGCAGTCAACAGGTGGCCACAAAAGAGAGACCTGTCACGGTCAGGCAGCAGCTGTCAGCAGGGGAGCATCAACCACCGTCAACATGTGTGAACTACTATGAGAGATCAACCTAGATCCGAAGCCGGCTTATGAACTTTACCACAAGGTAGCTGTCCCAAACCCACACGTTCCTGTTGAATTAAACCACGTAAATCTATTTCTGCTGTTGTCGTATTTCTTTCTTGCAACCATACGCTTGTCCATAACACTAATCTTGTGTTCCAGTGTTTTTCTTTGGAATATTATTAACCTGAATTACAAGGTGATACAAGCATTGGTAATGAGGATGAGAGAAAAAGTGTTTTGTGTAACACAATAAGAAAACTAGCCGTGATTTTAAACAGAATTAAAATATTAATTCAAGAAGGATGACTACATTTTGAAAATAATGAATGACAGAAAAATGGAAAAAAATAAACCAGGTGATACTGAAAATAATAAGTCTTTTTCCATTTGTGATGATGTACACAGAAAGAGCTGTTCCTGCTACCTTGCAGAAAATAATTTTATAGCAGTTTCATATTGGACAATCTGGGGTGTCAGGAGTTAAATTCCATTATGAGAAGTTACATATATTGGCCTAAAATGAACCTGAATATTCAAAATTTGGTTAAGTCATGCAAAGGTTGTGTTTTAGCAGCAAAATTATCAACTGTGAATTATCAACACTGGCCTAATACTGATAAACCTTTGTCTTGGTTGCATGTTGATTACACAGGAGCTTTGAATAGTGCACATTACTTGACAGTAATGTGCACTATTCTGTCATTGGCAGTTTTTCAAAATGGCCTGAAATATTTAAGTGTAGAAGACCTACTTCCACGGTAATTGTAAATTTTCTTCATGAACTGTTTTTGAGATTTGGTGTTCCAGATACTATAGTGTCTGATAAGGACACACAATTTACTTCAATAAACTTTCAAAATTTTTGCAAATATTATGTAGTTGAAAATATAACAATGCTTCCCTACCACCTGAGATCAAATTGTTAGGTTGAACATTTTGTTTATATGTTCAAAATTAAATGGGGAGGAGAGAGGAGAATTGCTCCAACAGTTTTTAAGAATTTATAGACTGACCCTTAACCCTAATACTACATTGAGAATGTCACCCATGGAACAAATGTTTTCCAGAAAAATTAAATTGGTGTTTGACAAATTACTACCTGGAAGAAAAATAAAAAGTTAGCATAGTAAGAAATCAGAATTGGTGCTTGCATAATTTAATAAAATACATTATTCTCCTTCAGAATGGACAAAAAAAAATCTACACTTAATATTTATTTTACAAAAAAATGACTTGTAATTTTGCAGTAAAATTTTAAAATTCTTCCCATTGCTGTTTGTCACAAGAGTTTCTTTTATTAAATTAAGACATGTTTGAAGTATCAAAAAATGCAAAGTTTAATGCCATTTTTGAGTGTGAACGCAATCAACTAACATTATCAATTCAATAACAATTTTGTCCATTATTTTATTAGTAGTGATTCCCTTATTTTACATTTTCTTAAATTCAGAATAATTCTTAAAAATCTCATTGGGTGCATTTTGAATCATAAAAAAAGTAATGATTAACTATGCCTAATGTATAAAAAAAAAAAATTATTCATTCTACTAAGTTTTATAAAATCATATAGAATAAAAAATTATATTAAATGTTGTTTACACACTAATTTTATCAAAATAGCCTTAAAAATAAATGAGATCAGTGATTGAAATTGAAGGAAATTTCACTATTTTGACACATTTTTGTAATTTAAGGCTCCAAAATGACAACACTGTATTGTCTAAAATGATACATGGCCTAGAGAGGATTAAAGTGTTGGTTAAAATATATGTTTCCCTGGAAGTTTTAAGTTCAATCTCAGAGTTGGGCAGTATAAAAAAAAATCATATATTCTAGTTCAAAGAAGCAAGCCATAAAACAAAACATCCATAGCAATTTTATTGTAATAATAATTGTATTTTAACTTTACATTGAAGAGAAGAAATTTGTCAAATTATGTTATTTACAAGTCATTTACATGAAAGTTTTTAATACATTCTTAGCATAAAAGTTTACCTGCAAGTCATTCATATATTGAAATAATGATATTTAATAGAAAATAATATGCTTAAACAATCATTATAATAAAATAAAAATAAGGTTACTCTTTATTTCCAAAAAATAAAGAAAATTGAAAATACTGACCTCCTCCAAAGTTGTATCAGAGATACCATATGTAGAAATTCCCATTTCTGCGTGGCATTTTTCTAAATCAGAGAACAAATCTTCAAAATTGGCTTCTTTATCATAAATGAGTTGATAGCACAACTCTGAACCTATTTCATCAACAAGCCTAGAATTGGGGACATACTTTCTGAGAAAAGTAAGCAATCGTTCTTGAGAGAAATCTAAAACAAAAGAAAAAAATTCTATAAATTTATAGAAAATTAAGTATTTATAGTTTTAAATTTGTTTTAAGAATACAATTATTGTTAGAAAAAAAAACACTGTTTTATATATATATATATATATATATATATATTATATATATAGCCTGAAGATTGTTTTATATATATATATATATATATATAGAGAGAGAGAGAGAGAGAGAGATAGATAGATAGACAGATTACATATACATACACACAGACACTGAAGAAGTTAAAAAAATTTAATGGTTAAAATTAGAGAACGTAATGTTTTTCTGAAAAAATATTCCTAACAAATATTTCATAATTTTACATACTCTGCAACTAATAAAGCTAATGTTGTCCAGATCTCAAATAACTTTTATTAAAGATAGTCTGTTCATCATTGAATAGAGTTTAGATACCAGTGGATAAATATTAAAGCAGAGCAGAGGTTTTATCCTCTGCTTTGATATTTGCCCACTTCTCTAAAGTTAATGATCAAGGATAGTTGATTATATCAAGGATAGTTGATTATAGTTAGCCCAAATCTTTCTTCTGCTTTCTTTAAAAAAAGGAAAAAGTATACATACAAAAAAGTTTGTTTTGAAATTGAATAACTTCATCTGATGCTTATTTTTTTAAATCTTCATTATAAAACATTACTATAATTTATTTCTGTTTCCTTTGCAACTTAATGAGTAATGTTTTCCTTAATATACTTGACATTTGTTCTCCGGATTATTTGGAATTGTTACAAAATATAAAGGTAAACTAATAATATAAATAGATTAGCAAGATATTTTTCAAAATAAGTTTATTTAAATGTCTATTAAATAATGAACTGAGATGAAGGCACGTCATCAAGGGAGAATCAGGTATTTGTATGAACAGAAAGCAAAATTAATGAATGTGATAAATGAAATCATAAAAACGTAAGAATGAGATATCTTACTTGTTTCATTGGATACATCTTCACAGCATGGAGAAGAACATTTGGAGATGTTATCACGGTCACTGTGATCTGACTGTTCTGTGAATCCTTCATCTTCTGCTTCAGTTGGTAAAGTAACCTAAAATTCAGAGGAGTTTTTTTTTCAATTAATGTTGGGAGCTAGATAAATTACAATTGACTGCTTCAACAAAGAAAATTATAAAGTATGTAATAAATCAATATATAATAAAATATATTTGAGTGAAACTAAAATGAACAAATATGACAGTTTATTATTTTTTCTGATATTGATAATGTTTTCATTAATAATTATAAATTCAGACAAAAGTAAAATACAAAATATCAAAGTTAGTAAATTATTATTAACAGATGATAACATTATACATAAATATAAATAAAAGAAATGATTTAATAACAAAGAAGCAGAAAGTAATGGTAAGATTAGTGATTTCAATAGAGAAAATGTTCAGCATTCATTAACCAAATGGTTAGTGTTACTGTCAGTTTAAATATATAATTTTTTTTTTTAAACAGTCTTTCAGAGAAATGGGTTTCTCAAGTCCATTAGCTGTTATCACTCTTTCTAGTATTGATGATGGTTTCCTTATTAAATTTTGTTTAAGATAGTTTGGAAAGTTAACATCTTGTTTATATAATTATTTTCTCTTTGAGAAACATGGGATATCCATTTTAGTTGTTGTTGCTTTTGGAAGTCCTCAAGTGATGAGGTCTTTTATTTAAAAGTGCTCAGGGCACATTCATTTGAAGCAATTTTTTTTATCATGGATTTGAGAACACACTTGCATATAACTGATAGCTGAGATATTTCTGAACAAGTTGGTTGCTATGCATGACATCTATATGAAAGTCTTGATATGACAAGGCTATTTAAAAACATGACTTAAATTCTTTGATTAATAATTTGGTTTTGTAGCACCTGGCACTGTTGAACCCCTAGTGCAGCTTTATTCAATTTCCTGAGGTATTAATTTACAGTTGATCTAGCTAGATGTAGCCATAACTTCTATGCTGAAAGTTTCTTTTCCCGCACGTCTTATTTGTGGAACTCCCTTCCAGCTCCATTTTTTAATCTGCAAGAATTTAAATGCAATGCTAATCTCTGTCTACTGTCCTCTTGATTACTCTTTTCTCTTTCTACTCATTACCAATGTTTCTGCTCCTAATCCCTTCACATCCTGTAACCTATTGCATGCTAGTGGCTGTGCTGCTTTGCTTGGGTTGATACTGATTAAAAAAAAAATTGAAATGTTTAGTATTTAATTATTCCGCTTTCCAAATGTTCAGATTCAGATTGATGTGGTCAGGATTGAAATGCAACTTAAAATACTTTTTTGAGGACTGGACATTTCTTCTGTCTTAGCTTTGACTGTATTATATTATGATTTTTTTTTACATTTCCCCACATTTCAACGCATAATCTATATTGTTTAGCTTCATTAATTTGGTTTCCATTTTCCAAAAGATGTTGATTTCTGAAAGCATTAACAAGTTTTTTTTTCATTTACTTTCTTAATTGCTTAGTGTTTGCCATTCTGTTTTGTTCGGTCTCTTTCTGCTATCAGTTTACTTACAAATAATTAAATGTAAAGAAAAATTCTTTAAGGAACTTATTAATTTAAAAAATAGTTCATTTGATTCAATGTTCTCCAATTTTGTAGAAAATGATTATGACACCAACATTGATTAATACTGAGTGTATTAAAATTACTTAATATATAACAAAGAATAAAGTAAGCAAAATAATTTTACCATATAAAATAACCAACAAATATTGTTACAGCAATATTATTCTTACAGAAGTATGATAAAATATAATCTTTTTATTTCTTTATTATAAACTTAATTATCTCTAACTTAAAAACTAGTAGTAAAAAAGAAAATTATCTCAAAGAAGTAAAAATCAAAAATGACAAAAGAAAGAAATTTATACAAATGACTGAGGTCAAAAATTCAAATTTTGTATTTAAATTGTATTATAAATTGCTAGTTATGCTAACTCCAAAAAGATTTGAGAAATTTAGCCATGTCATTGATAATATAAATGATTCACTTAAATATTTTCCATTATCAATTAAAAATAAAATATTTGTTGAACAAAATCAACTTTGACACAAAGTTGCAGTGACAGGACAATGAAGAATGAACTCATTAGCAATGGCTTGCTAGATAAACTCATGTCCTTCAATGAAAATAGATTGTTTATAAGATGAATAATTCTCTTCCACACAATTACTGAAGATGGCATCAAGATTAGAAAAAAAATCATTTAAAATAAGAACTCAAAATAGCATCTACCACCTTCTCATTACAGGCATTAATCTTAGCATTTGTTCTAGTTGTTTCATCCAAGCTCATTATAAGCCCTAGATCAACAAAAAGAAAGCATAAAAAAAGATATTAACATAAAATCATAGCTAAGAAGAAGGACAGATATTTTTAAAGATCCATAATTATACTGATGAATTCTGAAAAGCCATATAAAACTTAGAATTAATACATTCTTTAAATAACACAAGTGAAAATACTTCTTCACTAAATACAAGACAATCAAAATAAACATGTTTGCATATTAAATGTTCTTAAAAACTACCAAATGATTGTAAAACTAAATGATTTAATTTTTTGAATTACTTCCTAATTATGATAAGAAAATCATGTACAAATAGATGTAACACTGATAGTGACAGGAATGCTGTCAATACAAAAAGACATTTATGATGAAGCTACTTTTTTCTAGCATTTATACATTATGACAACAAAGTCTGACAATATTGTAAGATATTGCTGGTGTGTGCTCTCTATATCAGTGGCTGTGATGCTTCAGTCCCGAAACCATAACTGACTGCTTGGTCAGCATTTGGTGAATTTTCATTGCTAACACAGCTGTCATGCCCACTGCAGAAAGCTTAGTCACATTGTGTTTCTGCCATTCTCTCTCTCTCACACACACACACACACAAACACATTTTACAAGTTAGTATGGAACAAGGTCAAAAGTGAGCTAATGGGTGTAGGACAACTGTGCTGTCACCTTCCAAATGCTAAAAAAAAACAGCATTCAAAGTATTGCCTTTTACCTGATTATTAAAATCAATAGAAAAACAAAACCAATATCAGAAATCAGTCAAAAAGCTTGAAAAGTCTATATTTTAATTCTTTACAGTAGAATATTAGTCAAAAAGAGACTTCTAGAGCAAAAGTGAAATTGTTATTAAAAATTTAAACAGCTTCAAATCACCAGCCATTGACAATGACATAACTACAAGATCCTTAAGTTAAATGAAAATACCTCATTTAATGTATTTGCAGAGTCAACTCTTTTGGATGAAGCACTTTTCAAAGATGCACTGTTGCTTGAATTTGAAAATTCCTGTTTTTTAATCTTAGTAGCCTGTTTTGCATTTCCATCAACTTCTGTCTTCACTAAAGTCAGATAATATCCACTGCCATAATAGTTCTTGAGAAACAAGCTAGAACCACAACACTGCAATTTTCCATTAGAAATTATTGCAATTCGGTCTCCCAGAACATCTGCTTCATCCATGTGGTGGGTTGTTAAGATTATGGTTCGACCTAAAAATAGAATTTAAAATCAATATTACTGAAAAAATAATTAAAAATTCATAAAACATATAAAAAAATTATATAAAATTCTGATAAAGAATATGTGAATTTGCAACTTTCAATAGAAAAAAAACTTACAAATATATTTTGTAATCAAAAAATTATCTGTTCTAAAAAATAGTGATCCACAAAATGTGTGTTGAAGAAGCAGACAAATGCAATAGACAAATTAAACATACTGCATTTAAAACAGTACAGAGTAAAAAAAAGTTTGTCTTGATATAACAGAAGAGATGAAGATGCAAAGAGATATTAACTTTCATCACTATCTGAGGTGACTTATTTACATAGGAAATCACAAAGACTATAAATAGCTACAACAACTACCCATGGCCAGTTGAGTGCATACTACTTACTGTGAATAGGTAACACTACACTACAATGGTGTCACCAATATCTAAAGAACTGAGTGAACAATTATCATTGGATAATTATGAGTACTAATGGCTTAGGATTCTAGTAACTGAAGCTAGAACAAGAAAGTTGAAGGGTTTGAAATCAGTTGGGGGAGAAAACCAGATAATTGATCTCTTCTTGCCAACTGCTGATTGTGAGACTATTAGCAACTGCACACCCAAGACAGTTGGAGGAAATGATGTTTAATGATATAAGTCAACTAATAGTGAGAAATATAGTGACCAAGCAAGAACTAGTGAATACAAAGAGAGCTAAGATCATGAACTTTTCTCAAAAAGTGAATTAACCAGTTACTGAATATGTTCTTCATTTGAAACAGGCTGCTAAATATTGTGAATTTGAGAAACTAGAAGCAGAAACCCAGTCAATTCAAGAGGATTTGATCCAAATGAAATTGTTAAACAGCCTTCAAAATGTGGATTATCAGCAAATGACTAATGCATTTACAACTGGAAAAATTGTTAGAACAGTGTGTTGAATTTGTTCAGCAACAAGAACGAATTCAAAAGTTTAATACAACAAAAGTTACAGATCTGGTAGAGGAAATGGACACATAAACAATAAAGAGAAAAGACAGAATAATATGTACTTTTCATTGATATGAATATCAAAGACAAAAACAAAAATGTCTGGCATATTAAAAAGATGTGAAATGTGCTTCAAAATGAATCATTTTAAATGTATGTGTAAATCAAAAAAGTGAAATGTAGAGATGGTCCAACAAAATGAAGAGAAAATAAGTATGGAGGCCTTTTCATTAAGAAAAAGAAATGAGAAAGGGCTGTTAAAAATTTGAATCAATGTTTTATTGGACATGCAACTAGATATGGGAAATGAAGTGGCGTGATATTGATACCCAGAAGTTTCTGGAAGAAATTAGGAAAACCAAATTAAAGAAAAGTCTTGTCCAATTAAATTAGTTTGACTGATGAATGATAAAAACATTAGGCTATTTTGAAGCCTTCATGGAACTAAAAAATAAGTTTGATGTAATAAAAAAAAGTTTGAATTATTGTGGTAAACTGTGAAAAGAATCATGGTTTAATAGTAATTTGACAAAATTAATAAATAAAATCAATGCAGAAGAAACTGGAAGTTTAAAAAACTATGAAGCAAATTTAAGACTAAAGGAAAATATCTTCCCCTCGTATTTTCAAGCACAAAAACTACCAGTCCATCTACTATCAATGGTGATGGAAAAACTAAAAAAATTACTGGAACAAGATCTACTGGAATGAGTTCCACCAGGAGGGAGCAAATAGGCCTCCCCATTAGTAATTTTAAGAAAGAAAGATGGGGATCTGCATATTTATGGTGACTACAAAATAGGCATAGAACACAAAATACGTTCTGACTCATATCCTATCCACAATGTAGAATGCACTTTGAACTCCCTTGCGGGCATGAAAACATTCTCTAAAATTCTTCCGAAATCGGCGTACCATCAAATACATATTGACAAAAACTTTAAAGGATTCACAACAATAAACACACCAATAGGCTTATTAAGACTGAAAAGAATGCTGTATGGAATTAAAACCACAAGTACAATTTTTCAAAGGGCTATGGAGCAAGTTATTGGTAGCAATATAAAAAATACATTATGCTAACATTTGTGTTGGTGCTATTAATGACGAAGAACTAAAATGGAAAATCAGTATGGTTTTGAATAAGTCAAATAAAAATGCTGGGTTAACAATTAACAAAAAAAATGTGTGCAAAACATTAAAAAAAAAATATCATTCTTGGGATATTCCATATCTAACAAAGCCATATCACCAGACCAATCATTAATTGACAAAATATTAAAAGTTGAAGTACCTAAGAACAAAATAGAACTGGAATCTTTCTTAGGACTTGTAAATTTCTACAAACGATATATAGAGCAATACTCCAAATTGACATAACCTTATACAGCTTTAAGAAAAAAAGAATGTGGAATTTATTTGCATAAAAAAAAAAACAAAAAAACAAGTGGCATTTGAAAATAACAACTGAAACAAATGAACACTCAATTTTGGGAATATTAGTTCAGATTAGTCATCCTATTATGTATCTTTCAAGAAAATTGTCAAAAGTCAAAGTGAATTACTCAAATATTCGAGAAAGAAGCGTTGACCATAATAAGGATGACAAATAGAACTCGTCAGTTTCTGATTGGAAAGAAATTCCTAATAAGGTCCAACTATAGACCTTTAGAATTTCTATTTAATACTAGGAAGGAACTTCCTAAGGTAACATCTTCTAGAATTCTAACATGGACCTTAATCTTAATGGCATTTGATATTGAGTACATGAAAAGCAATACCATTCCACATGTAGACACTTTCTCAAGGTTGAGGGTCATTACTTCTGAAAGTGAGAAAGAGGAATAAGACTTTGAAGATACTTTCTTACACTGGGTCAAAACTGCTATTTTGCTGGCAGACAAATTAGCTGAGGATACCAATGTAAATAATTGTCCATGGATAGAAAGGTACTTTAAAGAGGTTAGACAAAAGTTAACCATAGAAAAGGGTGTAATTGGTAATGGAGACGTAGTAGTTCCACCAACAACGCAAAGGAACAAAATTATAAAAAGCATACATGACAATGTTCATTGCAGAGCAACATCTACACAAAAGGAGAATTAAGGCAGGGTAACCAGGCTATTCTACAGATGTAGAAGAATACATAAAAAGGTGTAATTGGTAATGGAGACGTAGTAGTTCCACCAACAACGCAAAGGAACAAAATTATAAAAAGCATACATGACAATGTTCATTGCAGAGCAACATCTACACAAAGGAGAATTAAGGCAGGGTAACCAGGCTATTCTACAGATGTAGAAGAATACATAAAAAGGTGTAATTGGTAATGGAGACATAGTAGTTCCACCAACAACGCAAAGGAACAAAATTATAAAAAGCATACATGACAATGTTCATTGCAGAGCAACATCTACACAAAGGAGAATTAAGGCAGGGTAACCAGGCTATTCTACAGATGTAGAAGAATACATAAAAGGTGTAATTGGTAATGGAGACGTAGTAGTTCCACCAACAACGCAAAGGAACAAAATTATAAAAAGCATACATGACAATGTTCATTGCAGAGCAACATCTACACAAAGGAGAATTAAGGCAGGGTAACCAGGCTATTCTACAGATGTAGAAGAATACATAAAAAGGTGTAATTGGTAATGGAGACGTAGTAGTTCCACCAACAACGCAAAGGAACAAAATTATAAAAAGCATACATGACAATGTTCATTGCAGAGCAACATCTACACAAAGGAGAATTAAAGGCAGGGTAACCAGGCTATTCTACAGATGTAGAAGAATACATAAAAGGTGTAATTGGTAATGGAGACGTAGTAGTTCCACCAACAACGCAAAGGAACAAAATTATAAAAAGCATACATGACAATGTTCATTGCAGAGCAACATCTACACAAAAAGGAGAATTAAGGCAGGGTAACCAGGCTATTCTACAGATGTAGAAGAATACATAAAAAAAGGTGTAATTGGTAATGGAGACGTAGTAGTTCCACCAACAACGCAAAGGAACAAAATTATAAAAAAGCATACATGACAATGTTCATTGCAGAGCAACATCTACACAAAGGAGAATTAAGGCAGGGTAACCAGGCTATTCTACAGATGTGAAGAATACATAAAAAGGTGTAATTGGTAATGGAGACGTAGTAGTTCCACCAACAACGCAAAGGAACAAAATTATAAAAAGCATACATGACAATGTTCATTGCAGAGCAACATCTACACAAAGGAGAATTAAGGCAGGGTAACCAGGCTATTCTACAGATGTAGAAGAATACATAAAAAGGTGTAAAACGTGCATTGAAAGAAAAAAATTTAGACAGACGAAAACACATACATAGCTTAGAGTCCCGACCTTGGGACAGAGTCCACATGGATCATGTCTATGTTAATGAAGTGGGATTATTATTAATACTGGTAGATGAATATTTGGGTTGGCCAGAATACAGGTTTCCAACGAAAGAAGTTCAACCATGAAAACAAGCATTAAGAAACATATTTTCAAAAAATGGAATTCTAAAAATGCTTGTATCTGACAATGCCCCAGAGTTCTGTGACAAGGAATTATGTCAATGGATGAACAAAATTGGATGCAAACCATATAAAACCCCACCATACCATCTGTAATCAAATGGATTAGCAGAAAGGATGGTGCAAACTATAAAAAATGGATTGAAGATATGTCTACAATGGAAAGAAAAGATAGCAACATTTCTTCCTAGTTAATCTCTAGGACAATACCACATGCTGGAAGATCCAAAAGCCGATCCACTCTCATGGGTAGAAAAATTAGAGCCCCATTGACTTATGTCTTATGCCACCAATGAAAAACTGTGATATAAAAAGAATAGTGAAGAATTACAATAGAATTACAAGAGGAAAAAATGCAAAGTGGACAGAACACTATGATAATAGAAAAAATGGAAATGGGATATTAGCATATGTAAACCAAATTAGACTGTAAGACAATAGTGATGAAGAAATGTACAATGAGCCTGAAAGTAATGAAGGCAAAAGTGTCCTGTCAAGACAAGACAAATATGACAGTGAAATCGAGAGCAATACAGATTCTGAAGATGAACAATTGTTGGAGGAACACTCCTATGAAAAAAGAAAAGGATCATGATCTCCCATATCTAAACAATCCCTTAGGGAGTGGGAGGAAGATAGGGAGCAGACAAAAGCTCCCAGAAGAAATAGCAAAAAAATAAGAGGATAAAAGCTCTTTGACACAGGGAGATAAGGTGACTCATTTTCATAGAAAGTCACAAAGATTATAAATAGCTACAGCTATTAGCCATGGGCAGTTGAATGCATACTAATTCCTGTGAGTCAGTACCACTACACTATCACAATCTAAAAAGCATCCTTTCACATGTAAAAAGCTCAATTTATTTAACTCAATGTTTGTGACAGATGAAAACATTGAGAATTTAAGACTGCTTATAGTAAAAAGAAATAATGAAATTATCAGAAAAAATACAAATACCAAAAGATTAGATTTTTTTAATCAATACTCTAAAGGGATTTTTTAAGAATGTCTGAGGAAAAAATGACAAAATAGTTTGACAGTTTTTATCCAACACAGATTGAAGAAGAATGTGTCAATTGAATGAAAATGTTTCAAACATGACTGACAGCTTTCATAGAGAATAATAATCATGCTGCAAAAAAATTGTACATATTTTATAATTCTTGATAATACTCTTCATATATTTTATCCATGAAAGAAAAGTTATTGTCAGAAGCTTTTTTTTAAAGTAAACAGGCCATTTTCTGTTTCATGTTTGATAAATAAAAAAAACACCAAATTTATCATCAATTAGAACAAAATCAATAAAGCAAATCAATTTTAACTGAACTGTATCAGAAAGACAACAGCATTGTGTTTGATTTCCTGTCTCATTTGCAATAACACACATGAAAATAAAAAAAAAAGATGTAAACAAGAGCATTTTGAAAATGATTAGTTTTCAGTTCTTTTTTTTGAAAGAATTATAGAGTGCCACAAAAATTGAAATATTCAGTATTTGAAGTGAAACAGTAATTTATCAACTTTAACAACAAGAATTGTAGTCAATTTCAATTATTTTAGCAAGAAAAAAGAACAGGAAAATCAGTCATAGCTAGAATGAATGTTACTGAGAAAAAAAATGTTTAGTTATTACTCATTTCATGATATGAAGTCAATCCTCTTTGAGGATTCATGCTTGTAAGTATACTGTGAATGATTTCAACAGGTTTACTCATATTTCTTTCTAATTTCTTGTGAAGAAATTATTTCTAATTGCCTAAATATTTGCTACATGGTTCTTCTTAATCTTGTTTCAGAAATAAAGTTTGAATATACAACTTTACTTTTTTTTTAATTGTACATTCTTATATCAACTGACAATGACTATAATCTTCACCCAAATGAAAATCTGCCAATGTATCTTAATAACTCCAAATGTGTGTGTATTTGAAATAAATTTTATGATTTCAAAGTAAACTTAAAACCATAAAGAGAATTTATAACTAAATTATATCTAAATCTTACATTTGTATCAATGTAAATATAACATTTTTTTAAATTTAAAATTGAAATTTGTTCCGACAAGGTTTCAGTATAATTTTAAAGATTTTTTTGTCAAATGAAATAAAAAAAAACAGTGTCTGGTTTCAATATAATCTAAAACAATGTAGAAAAATCATTATTTTTCAAAGAAAAGAATCAACCTAAAGATTCTTTAGAGTTTTACTTGTGAGCATGAGATCAACAATTGAATTGGGGAGGTGTTTTACTTAAATCAACAGGGTATATATAAGAGTATTACTTTATTAAAACATTTATTAAAGCATATGTCATATCATACAGATACATAATATTAAAAATGTTACAACATACCTTGTCTGAATTTGAGCAGTATTTCCCAAATTGCTCTTCTTGCATGAGGGTCAACCCCAGCAGTTGGTTCATCAAGAATGACAGTTTTTGATCCACCAATAAAAGATATGGCAACTGACAGTTTCCTCTTCATTCCTCCTGCAATAAAAAATTAATTTTCAGCAAATTCTTTCTGCTTAACATAACTTCTCTTTTAAAATAAAGTTGGCACTTATTACTAAATAATTATAAGCTATTGGTTTTGTATTAAATTAGTAAAAGATTTATAATAACAGGAAAAATGTAATTGTTCAAGACTATTAATTTATTTTCAGTTTAACAAGTTTACTATTTTTTTTTTTAATTGTTACTGCAATGGTAGCAAGATGCACTTATAGGTGAAGTGGAAACTTCTTCAATGAAGCTTCATCCACTGAATAGAGCACCTGTAAAAGTTACAGTAAACCGAAGATGACCTGATGTATTTGCATCCACAAGTCTATTTCATTATTGTTTTCTTCTTGGAATATTTCAGCATATCAACTTGAAGATCCATAGGCTATATCAGATTCTATTTTGCAAGTCAATGTTATATGAATTTCAGCCTATAATATCTATCTTTATTAAAAATACTGACAACTTCTTTTAGAGATATTCGAATTTATTATGCAAACAAATCCAATAACTAATGATTTATAGAAACATATTTGATTTACACAACATTCCATATACCTGAATTGATTATTATTATTTTATGTGTTAATATGTGCTCCTTAACATTCTATATCCTTCATCAGTGTTTTATCCATTGAGCTTAACTTTACTACTGTTTCGATATTAAATTGCAGAAGTTCTTACTACTTTTGAAGGATTGATTTTTGCTTGAATATTACTTTCCATTTTCATATGGACTACAAGTTTTATTAATTTGTTATCCAAGTCTTTTTTGACATGGTGACCAATAGTCATCTTTGCAAAACATGAATGAGAATTCTCTTGCATGTATATACTGAAAGGTTCTTCATTCTGACCTGTACCATTCAAAAATATATAACAATAATTTGTTACATTTAATTTGACAGTATCATCAACTTGGAAAGGAATACAATTTATTGCCAAAACAATACACCACCTCTATTATCTTATTTTGATTAATTGTTTCTATGAAGGACCCAGCTTATGTTTCAAGCACCAGATCCAACTAACCTTGCTCTAAATACATCATTAAAAATTACTGTTGAGAAGTCAATTTTCATGAACTTCTTTGTTTAACCTACACATTTCTGTGATATTCACTTAATGGATTGCTTTCATGTGTTTAGCTAATGTTCTTACTATTCTACATCTCTTCTCTGTTTACATTTGCAACACCATATTCAAATATTTTCTTGCTAGTCAATCCAATTCCTTCACTTCACTCTTAATTTTTCTCAAATCTTAAAGTCAAATTCTTAAAGCCATTTTTATTGTTTTTATCTTGCCAATGTTTTCACTTTCATTCTTTTTGTTTTCTGATCTATATTCAACTATTTCAAAAGTTACAATGACATCACTTTACAATTTTTTATAAGTTTATATTTTCATTGTGATCCTTGACCTTGTAGGATGGCAGTGAAAAGGTTGTTGGTTCCTATAATATGTGCATATCATTTCAACTTTCTCTTCTTGAGAGTGGTTAGGAGATTTTCCAATGGGTTTCTTTCTTGACTGATAATGCCTTGCACTGTGTCATTTGTGATGCAGTCTACATAAGATATGTCGAGAATGGTTCTGTAGCATTTCATTTCTAATGCTGGGATTCTTTGCTGTAATTTTGCTGTTAATATCCAAGATTCACAGGTGTAAAGAAAGATTGAGAAGGCCAATGCATGCAACAGTGTGATCATTAATTTCAAGCAGATATTCTTATCAAATTGCCAGATGGTTTTTAGTTTTGTAATGCTCTTGAAATTATTTCTATTCTGAAGTCCTCTTTGATAAGTTCCTGATCACCAACTTTTATTGCTTGAAAGCACCTTTCATTGTTCATAATGAGTTTGTTTTTTAGGGAAGCATTAGTCTCTATGCTATATCTGGTGGATGCTTCATCTAGATTCTACACCAGACTAAAACTGACATCACAACTGAACTCATTATACATGGTGGTGAATCAGTTATAGACATGCTAACAATAATCTGTTACAAGATCTAGCAATCAGTTAAGTGGACAATATGGACCCAGTCACTGATTATTACCCTACCACAGATTTTTTTCTTTTTAAACCACTAAGATGTAAGCAGTTACTGAGGGTGAAGAAAAATAAGAAAACATTGAAGAAAGAGGACAATAAAAAACAATTTAAAAAAGATAGGTGACATTGCATTTAAATTTTTGAAAACTGTAGGCGACATGAAAGCAAGAAGTTTGAAGAGAGTTCCACAAGCAAGCAGTGTGATGGAAGAAACTTTTAGCATAAAACTTATAGTTACATCTAACCATTTCAACTATAAAATCATCAGATACCTTGCAACCAAGCTAGTATTGTGCTTCAGTTCATAAAATCTAGGTACCGAAAAGGAAAGCTCATCAGAAAATGATTGAAGCTGATATGTCCAATAATATTGTAGGTTCTTTGTATTTTATCAAGAATCTCTAAATACATTGCAAAAGCACCAGAGTATATTTGGCAGAAATATTCAATGCATTAAGACAGGAGTAAATAGTTGTGTCATCTGGATAGATACCAAGAACTAATGACATCAGGAATGTTATTGATAAAAATTAGGAATGACATAGGATAGAGCCTTGATGGACACCTGAATTAATGCTAGATCTAGAAAAGTGGCCATTCATGACAACATTCATTTTGCAATTTGATAAAAAAAAGATTGAATCAAATCAGAAATTCATCCAGAAATAACAACCTTTCAGCTTGTGAAGAAGACCAGCATGTCAAACTCTGTTGAATGCTATTGAAATATCCAAACCAACAGCCCAAGCTTCACCATTCTTATCTAAAGCTTGACAGACTTTATCAGCAATAATCATTAACATATCAGCAGTTGACCTAGAGAAGTGAAAGCCATATTACTTATCTGAAAGAAGACTCTCTGAAGTGGGATGCTTAACCAATTCAGAGTTGATTAGAGTACTTTATATAAAAAAAAAGCTACACAGCAAATAAGCCACTAGTTAGAAGGATCAGACAGTTTACCTGAGTTCTTAACAACTAGAAATACAGAAAAGAATTTCCAACAAGCAACAAGGTATTTATTGTAGACCTTAGAGAAAATAGGAATCAGTTCAGGAACTCATTTCTTAAGGATACCCTCAAGTCCCGATGCTTTGTGGGGATGGAGTTTAGAGGTGTATAGCAGAAACCCTGATTCATGTGTATTACAGTAGATGAACAGGAAGGTGTGACCCAAAAAGGTACAAAAGCATCTATATAAGATTTAATTCAAAAAGAAACCTCAGTGGCACAATTCTCAATAGGAAGGTTACAAATATTTGTTTGTTTTTTTTCACATTTTCAGTTAAACATTTATCAAGTATGATTAAACAAAATGAAAAAATATAAAGGTTCATATTAGTATTACACTTACATTAGAAACTGATCCTCTTCACTACTTTTACAAGTACTGAAATTTTAAAAAATTACTATGCTAAAAATATGCTCCAGGGTACCATTAGTAATCATAGAAACTTTGGCGGATATAGCTCTAGCCATTATTGTAATGACAGACAAGAAAGACAGTGAATTATGTTAAGACAACAAAAATCATTTGATTGTAGTTATGATTTATCAACAATTTCAGTTTTGTTTACAAAATTACTGCAAAATCACAAGACCACTTAAATGTATGCAAATTTCTAAAAGTTTTTATCAAGCAATGCTTCAGATTATGAAATCTGTCAGACAGAAAATAAATGAAACATAATGCAAAACAAAATCAATGAAAGTTGCTCTTATATATCTTATATATGTGTGTGTGTGTCGCACTGAATATGATGGGCAAGGAATATTTTTTATTCAGTTTTTATAGTGTTTTTACAATTTTTCTTTTTTCTCATTGTGGCTTTTTGGGCTAACATTTACCACTCACATGAAGTGCAAAGATTATATTGAATCCATTTCTATGTCTGCTGCTAAGAAAGTTGGTTCACTGTGTCATGCTAGACAATTTTCCTCGCCAGTATTTATATCACACATTCATAAGTCTACCATTCATCCATGCTTTGAATATTGTTGCCAAATCTGGTCTGGCACTTTTATGTATTTAAAGATTCTTGATAAAATACAAAGAATCTGCAATATTTTTTATCCTGACCTGGCATCTCAGCTTCAGTCACTTTCCCACTGCCATAATGTAGCTTCCTGGGATTTTCCTATAAATATTTTCATGGTAATTGTTCTGATGAACTTTTCTCAGACCTAGATTTTATGAATTTAAGCACAGTACTAGACTGATAGCAAGGTTGAAATGGTTAAATGTAATAGTAAGTTCTATGCTAAAAGTTTCTTTCACACTTCTTCCTTGTGGATCCCACTTCCAGCTTTTTGCTTCCCAGTAAAAACTTTGATACTCAAAAATATAAATGCAATGTCAATTGTTGTCTTGTTTTTTTTTTTTAATTCCTGTTGTTTTATTGTTTTCTTGCCTTAATAATATTTTTTTCTCATATACTCTCACACTCAGTAACTTCTGATGCCTTAGTGGTTTTATTGCCTTACTTGAGGCAAAATAATTAAAAAAACAAATGTGTGTGGAGAAATTATCCATCATATTTATTGTCCTGAATGTTGTTAACTAATTCATTAACCATTTTCAAAGGGTGGTGGTTGTAATAAAATATATAAACTTATCAGATCACAATATGACTAATGAGCAAATAGAGTTCTTCAATTTAAGTCCAAACTGCCATCTCCAATCTGGAGATCAAAAAATAATAACATGATTAAAATAAAATAAAAGATTCCTAACACAAATGTAATTTAGGTCAACTCAAAAGAAAACATGGAAAATATTATCAAAATGAAAAGAAAATAATCTACCTGACAGGTTAGTACTGAGTTCTTTTCTTTTATGTACAAGGTCAACATCAGCGATCATTTTATCAATTTCTGATGAAAGACATTTTGATTGAGCTCCTTTAAGTTTTGCATAGAACCACAAATGTTCTTCAACTGTTAAGCTGTTCAAAAGAGAAGCATAAAAATCACTAATGATAGGCCAATTAGCCTTTTCCAGTTTTAACACTGAACACTATTAGAATACTTAAAATAACAAATAACAATTCTCATTTAATTCAAAATAGACAATTGCAAGCTTGTAAATGTCATCAATTGTAAAAGATGTTAAATGTTTAAATAAAATAACCTATAAAAAGTGTAATCAGATTAATCAGCAAAAGTACGTCATGAATGAAAATTTACTGAATACTAATTCAACTTATAAAGATACAAAAATGTACCATAGCAAATGTTAATTTACTTGATGCACACAAAAAAACATGTTAAAAGATTGCAGGTGCATCAAATAACAATTAAATTTTAGTACAATAATAAATTTTTATTTATTTTTTGTAAACTTAAAATATATACTTTACATATATATGTAACAACTGAACACAAATACATATATGCTATATTTATAAGGGAAGAGTGCTCAATATAAAGGCAGAATGTTTGTAGACAGTAGAGACATAGAAATCAACACTGCATGGGGACTGTTAGTTTCATGCCACAAATCATTTTGGTGCACACAAACACACATACACAACTGTGTGTCTGATGATCAAGTGTGTGTGTATGTTTCGTTGTCTTAATTAAAACATTTACTCATTTACCAGTTGGAATTCATACTATTTTCATTTGTTGAAATTAGCTGAATAAAATAGCCAATTTGAAATTTTTTTGTCACTGAAGCCATTTCAAGTGAAGGTAACTCAATGTGTTATTTAAATGCTCAGAAATTGAGGATTGCAATGTTGAACAAATAATATAAATAGCAAACTTGGTATTCTTGGAAAGATTCTAGTCAAAAGGAAATGGAAAATTGGGGAGAAGAGATCAAAATACTCAACTTGAGATACAGGTACAAATAATTTCTTTTTTAGCTAAAAAAATAGAGCTTTTCCTTTTATGCAGTTGTGTATATGAAATGACAGAAAGTAAATTGAAACACTATATCTTACTATTTCAGCAATAATCTTTTACGTTAATAAAGTAGGCTAAATTACAACAGATGGTAAGGGGACTTGGTTTTAGAACTGAGTTACTACTAAAGTACAAACTTCTAGTAGATAATTTATCACAGGTCAAATGACCCTAAAAATGTTGAAACTTACATTCTAATAAAACTAATTACATTTATCTTTATCTTCATTATAGAAATTGTATACAAAGACAAAGAATTCAGAAAATAATTATTACATGCATATTACATATAAATCATTAAACAACACATTTCATAAATGTCATTTTTTTCTGTAACTAAACATCAATAGAATATGAATTTTTTTTGTTTCATATTTAGAATAATCAAATTGTGACTAACCCTGATCAAAATAAAGATGCCATAGATTTAAGAATATAAAACAAAGTATCTTACTATTCAAAAAGCACATTGTACTGAGGACACATAGCTAAACTTTTTCTAATCTCATCGATATTCCAACGTATATCTTTGCCATAAATGATTGCAGTGCCATCAGTAGGTGGGAAAAGTCCAGTCAGAATGGACCTGTTAAAGAAAAAGAGTTAAACTTAAAAGCAATACAAAATATTATTTTTATTATCATTATTCTCTGATTAGAACAGAAGTTGCATTTACACAAAAGAAGTTATGTTCCTAGCACTGTAATTATTAATAATTTGGAATATTATTTAAAAGAATTATCCATTATTTCACTATCTAAGCCTTTTCTTTAAATCATTTTGCATAAGGCACTGAAAACTACTCATTAAAGATAACAAGTATTTTAGTTCACTTCTAGGGTTTTCTTTTCTTTAGAAACATTTCTAAAGGTCACATTTCTGTTTCAAGTATTATTAATAAAAATCATCTCAAATAATATATGTCAAGAATTTTGATGATTCTTTTATTTCATAAATCAGAAAATTTTAAAATTTGTATTAAAACAATGTCACAAATGAAAGTTTAATTTAAAAAAAAAACAAAAGAAAAAACTGATTATTATGAATGTACAACAGTTTAAACAGAAGTTAAAATCTTTACAAATAAATTCTTGATAAAATTTTGCTATTCAAATAGACAAAAGGAACTTCATCTAAGATAAATACATAAAGCATGATCTGACAATCTTATTTCTCGATTTTAAGAAGACAAAAAATTATCTTCAGAAATTGAATATGATTTTTAGAAATGATAATTGTAAATTAGTCTATAATGTCTTTTATCTTATATTTTCTAGGGCACAGTTCTAAAACAGACTGTCACAATAATAAGCAATAATAACAAGCAAACAAAAACCAAATAAGATACTTACATTGTTGTTGTTTTTCCTGCACCATTGTGTCCAAGAAAAGCTGTAATTTGCCCTTCATAAAAGTTTAAATTCAAGCCATCCACAGCAATTTTGTTAGTTTTTTTATAAACTTTCCTCAAATTTTTGATTGAAACACCAATTTTAGAATGTGATGGAACTTTTTCAAATTTTTCAGAATCTGACAACATAATAATAATTAAAAAATAAATAAAAAAATAGCAATTATACGCTTAAATCTAAAAAATATTAACACTTTTTGGGGGAGAATTTAGAGCAAAAACTCTATAGTAAATGTTTAAGAGCAATTTTTTTAGGTATCACTTCATAGCAACATTTATATTTTAAAGCAAGCTTAATACAGTATCTTAGTTATAGAAATGTAATACTTAACAGCTAAGAAGATGCAGAATTGATGTAACAGTAACTGAAAAATGGAATCAGAGAACAGAGTTCAAATCCCAGGTGAGAGTTTGTGCCTATTTTGTACTAATGCGTATGGGAAAGGCATGAATGCACATGTCTAATTAGATCAGATCAATTAATATGACCTGCTGCTGATACTATGCAATATAGTACAATGTGTCAAATGTTATTTGAAGAGAAAATGAACATTAGAAAATAATCTTAAGAAATTCCCTAGAGTACCTAACATGGTACCCTAAGAGCTTACTGAGCTTACTGTGTCATGTGTTTATTTGATTGATTTTTTTATTTGTTAAATATAAGGAAAATTTTTGTTTTAAGCATTTTTATGCTGATAATCAGCTGAGAATATTTTAGAAGTATGAATTCATAACAGATAAATTATAAAAGAAAATGATGTGCTCACCTTCATTAGCAAGTTCAATTATTTCATTGTTGATGTTTACATTTTGCTGAATTAGTTCTTGATTCACTTGTTGACTAAACCAATAAGATTTCTGGAAGGGGAAATACCATTTTCTAGGAATTCCATACATGCCTGAAGTAAAAAAACAATAAAAAAGATATTTTATGTAATATATTAGGTCCATACAAAAATATAACTAAACAGACATGAATCAATTTATACTTTTTCTTTTTTGCTTTTAATGAAGATCAAATGTTAATTTCTTGTAATTTAAAAACGAATAAGAGAATTTAATTCAACATTGATCTTTTCTGACCAATGATAAAATGGTACAATGCACTTAATTTTTTACCTTTTTAATCCACTCATTTTCTATAAATACCAAGATTTTACTACTGTAAACTTCAGTTTTTCAGAGTATTTAAAAAATGAGGGACACTTTAAATTAGTCACTAAACTGCCAACTTTAGTAAGTTACTCATTGGCAGCAATACAACGATAATAGCATAATTACTATCACTCATCTTTTTGACACATAAAAAATGATGGCAGAAATTAAGAATTTATCAATACTCAAGAAATCAAATCAAAACCTGGACATTCCACTCATAAATTATTTCATCCTCTTAGCAAGAAGAAATATTAAATAGACTTTGTAACAAACAAGAATCTTCTAGTCAAGTCTCTTTCTGAAACACTAGAAATGTTTAGACTACAATTTGTTTTATTGAAGGCTAACACACTGCATCCAACTATAATCAAGATTAATTTAATTCAAGGTTGGTTGGTTGGTTGTAGTAAAACTTACATATGCTAGAAATGGGAATGCCTGATTGGGAAATTAGATTCTTAACTTTTTGCTCGCTTTAAGAAATCATTTAAAATTTAATTTACATTCTGCAAGAAGTGGTGCTTTTAAGTAATACAACAAATTTTGTGATTGAAATTTAATTTCTCGAAATTTCATGAAATTAAGTAAGTGGGGGATAACATATATAAAAAAAAATTTTTTTTACCGAGGTTTTCCAAAAAAAAAAAAAAAAAATTAAAAAAATAATTACAAAAATAATTTCATTCATTTGTGAATAAGTCCAGAAAGATTCATTAAAATTCAACAATTATTTGATTTTTGCAAGAATTTCCAAATCAATGTGTTTTTCAATGAAAAAAAGCACAAAAAAAGACTAATCGCAAATTTACATTGACTGTTAACATAAAAAAAAATAAGATTTTTAACCAAAATTTCAAATGTGCTAGAAAGGATTAAACAATTTAATAAAATAATTAAAATTTGGTCTTTCCTCTTAATAATAACAAATATTTGGATGATAAAACTTTGGTTTTTTTTTTTTAAGTTTGGGGCCTTTTTTCATCATGCTATGCTGTTTTTCTGTGAAAAAGTGGGGGTACCTAAACTAGAAATGGTATATATAAAACAATGTGACTTTCAGTAAAATTTCAAAAATTAAAAAAATATTATTAATCTTTCCTGTCACTATTTACTTAAATAAGAATGTATCTATTTAAATTCTGAAAAATTAAATTATAAAGAAATATACATGTTCTCAAAACTGGAAAAGATACTTTTGTTGTGGTTTTCAAGTAATGATTTGAAAATTACTGTTAACACTTTCTAAAAATGTTAACAACTATCATTCAAACTGGCTTCATTTTATTACAATTTTTTCCTGTATAAATGAAAAGCACTACTCACAAAAATATATATTTTTATTATTTATTAAATTCATCTTTATAAGACATAAGGATTTTTATTTTTTAAATAATTATTCCAAGTATAATTATTTTTGAATAATATAAATGATCCCATAAATACATCAAATTATGGATAAAAACTGAAGAAATGAATTAAGTCAATGTTTACCTGGAAACACAGCTTCAATATACCAAGCAAGTATTAAATAAATGAGGCTATCAACTAGCATGAGCATCATACATTGCAGCATGCTAAAGCCATCATCAGGCAAGGGACTAGAGTTCAAATTGGACCACTGCAACCCAATAGCTTGTTCTTCATATCTGGCAATGTAGCTACATCCATATCCAAAGGCAACATTTGATGATAAACACTGAATAAAAAGAGAATAATCCATTTCACCAAAACAATTCAAAAGTTCAGTTATATCACTTGTCAAGTTCATGAGAATAAATTTGCATTTTTAACTGCTTTTTCCAAAAGATAATTTTTGTTCATATTACAATTATGCACCATTTTTCATGGATGTTGTCTGTAACACAGATTATAACTAAATTCAAGAAAAATCAAAGAAATATAACCAAACATTATTATCTTCACTAATGGCCTAATTTAAAATTATATATCATTATTTGTAGTAAGAATGGATATAAGATTTCACATTATTATAGATGATTAAATCAAGGTAACCTGCCAGTGGTATATTTGTTGGGGTTAGGCATAGGGGATGGCACTTTTGGTCCATGTTGAGTTTTCAGGAGAAAAAAAAAACCCCAAAAAAAACAATAGCATAATTTCAATAATTTCTGCAAAAAAAGCAGCAATAAGGAAGAAGATAGGGTTCAAATGAAGCAATTTTGTCTTTGATCTTTGATATGGCTTTGAATAGGTCAAAAATAAAAAAAAAAAATTGTAAAAAAAAAATTGTCTCTGAAATACTGTCAGCTGGTGGCGATAAACCCCACTTACAAAAAGTGAGTAAAAGGTGTGAAAAAATTTGAACATTTTAAAAACACTGCTTGATGTTGGATTAATTGAATTAAGTGAATCTACAGTTTTTTTCTTAACAATGTGAGAAGTCCAGACTTTGGTGTCAGTTCTTTGATTTTGATTTTTCATGTCTGTGAACTGTTAGTGAAAAAAAAATAATAAGTGAACCAATTGTTTTTTTCTTCATCTTATTATAGGCCTAGCTTTAATATGGATATAAAATCATTACTTTTCATAAATTATAAAATAGATACATAAATGAATTAAAATAATTCCAATGCTTTAAGGATATCACATGCATTCCAATTTTTTACATAAATATCAAATGAAAATTTAAAAGAAAACTGAAAATTAATATATTTTTTAAGTGAGAAACTTTATTTAAAGTCCAAAAATGGGCATTTTTTTCAATTTTCAAGTTTTCATGGCAGTAAAATGATGCAATGTTTTATTTTTTTGTTTAGATAGTTGAAGTTTTAAGCAAAATAGACTAAAAATTAAAAGTATGATAACATTTTTATTTCAGTTTTTAAAAGTGAAATTAATTTTATCTGACTTTTACTTCTTAGTCTACTACTTGGCTAATAATAATTTCAACTACATAAAACAAAATAATTTAAAAAGGCATTGCCTGTTTTTATATCGTATGCGCAGTTCTCCACGTTACGTTTTGCAAACAGGTTCACTGACTAATGCTGCTTTGTTCACCCTCTGCTCTCTATTTATGTTGTCATTTTCATTTGCATATGATACTACACCTCCCTGAATTGAAAAGGCTGGACATCCTTGTTTTTTTTTCTATTACTATTTCTGATTACTCTCATACTGTGCTCTCCTTCCTTTTGTCTTTTTTTTCTTAAATGGTGACATTGGTCTTTCTTCATTTTCTTCTGCACTCTCGTCTGTCTTTTCATTATCTTCTATTTCCTGCTCTGTTCCATTTTTGTGACTTTCTGTCTCTCCTTGCTCTTGATCTTTCATTTCCATGTCATTCAATTCATTTCTGCTTCTGAATTAATCCACATGTGCTATTATATTTTGTCCCTTTTTCTCTAGTATAGCCGTGTCCTTTTTGTATCAGGAAATTTGCTTCTTCTGCATCAGTCTCTTTATTCTTTCTATACCATACGTTTTCTTTCGTTGCAAAGGACATAGTTATGGGGGATCTGATTTGTCTGCCCATTAATGCCGAAGGGTTCAGCTTTCTTTCTGCATGTGGAATGGATCTATAACTGAGAAGCATTTTCGGTAAATATGCTTCTAGGCTTTCATTAAGTGGTGAGAATGCTTTTAACCCCATTTTCATTGTTTGTACCATTCTTTCCACAATGCCATTAGATTGTGGATGATATGGTGGTGTCTTGTATGGGATACATCCTATCTGTTTCAACCACGCACATAAATTCTCATCGCAAAATTCAGGTGCATTGTCAGTGACTAGTGTCTGGGGTACTCCATTCCTTGAGAATATTGTTCTTAGTACTTGCTTTATTGTGGTGGCTTTTCTGTTTTTTACTCTAACAACGTCTGGCCATCCTGAATACAAATCCACTAATACTAAGAACAACCCTCTATCTTTGATATGTGTGTGATCCATGTGGACCCTAGCCCATGGCTCTGCTTTCTTGGGCCATGAGTGAATTTTTCTTTGCTTGAAATTTTTTATTTCCGCACATTTTGGGCATCTCTTAATGTATTCCTCTACATCTTTTGAATACCCTGGCCACCAAGCTTGCAACTTTAGTCTTTTTTGCGTCAATATTATGCCACAATGCACGTCATCATGTACTCCTTTTAATATGTCCCTCCTCAGTATTTGTAGAGCTACAATTATATCTCCATTGCATATTATGCCATCTTCAATGGTCAGTTTGTGCTTCGTTTCTTTAAAGGGTCGCTCTGCCATCAAACAATTGCTCCATACATTATTTCTTATTCCCTCCACTATTCTGCTTAATACTGAGTCTTTCTCTGTCTCTATTTTGAGTCTATTTAGAGGAAGAACGTCCGTTTCAACCCAGTGTATTATTTTGTCTTCCACCTTTTCCTGTTTTTCTTCTTCATTCTTGAAATGCAATCTTGATAATGCATCTACATGAGGGATAGTGTTCCCTTTGACATATATTATGTCATAATGCCAAGATCTTTATTGACCATCTCAAAATCCTTAATTACTTTTGGCAATTCTTTTCTTGGGTTAAATATGAATTCCAATGGTCTATGGTTCGAATTTAATAAGAATTTCTTTCCTATCAAAAAATTTTCTGCCCTTTCCATGCTCCATAATCGCTAATGCTTCTTTTTCAGTATTTGAGTAGTTAATCTCGGCTGAAGTTAACCTTGATATGTACATGATTGGGTTTTCTTCTTGCGATACAATAGCAGCAATCGCCTTTTCACTTGCGTCTGTGGTTAATGTTATTTCTTTTTGTGGATCAAAAACTTTTATTATTGGTTTGCTCCTCAGTATTTTCTTTATTGTTTCAAAAGCAATAGTTTGCTCTTGGGTCCAGTTAAATTCACTATTTTCCTTGTGTATTAAGTCGTTGTATCTTGTAATGTATTTACTATAAAAATTTATTAGCCCCAAAAAGATTCTAACACCTTTTTATTTGCTGGAGGAGCTATTTCTGTTATTTTCTTTGTTAATCTCTCGTCAGGTGATATGCCTTCTTCCAATATTTGATATCCTAAATATTCAATCTCACTAAAATTTGCTCTGTTTTATATTTCACTTCTTCTCTGGTTCTTGCCCCTACACATATATTGTCCTGGTATATTATCATATTTCTTATTTTTCCTAATAAGACTCTTTCAATTGCTTTCTGAAAAATGTGACTCAAAGTCTTTACCCCAAATGGTAGACACGTCCATCTTAGCAAACCTATAGGGGTGTTTTTCATACTTACTTGAATTTTTCATCAATTTCTATTCAGTTGTATGCTGCCTTGAGATCAATTTTTGCAAAGTGTTCCATTTTCACTAACTCGTGGCTCACAATCTCGATATTTGGCAATGGAAAAGAGTCCGAACATATCTGGTGATTTACCCCTATTTTGTAATCACCATAAATCCTTAAATCTCCATCAGGTTTCTTTATCTCTACTATTGGTGATGCACAATTGCTATCACCTTGAGTTACTCTTTCTAGTATGCCTTGTTGTATCATTTTGTTTAACTTGGCCACCACCAAAGGTAGGATATGAATTGGAACTTTTCTCGACTCTATATATTTTGGATGATAATTCTCTTTTAGTTGAATACATGCTTTATAGCCTTTTAACATTCTAATTTCATTTTCTTGTACTTCCATGAGATTGATTAATCTTACCATATGCACTTTTAACACATCAGTTCCTAGTAATCTGTGATTTTTTCACATTCTACCACTGTAATGAGAATTACTTCAAAATGTGTATCTATTTCAAAATTGCCTTGAAATTTACCCATTATTTTTATAGTTGTTCCATCAAATTGCTTCAATTGGATGTTCCTTTTTTTTTTTTAATTTAGGCCATCTCAATTTGACCCAGAAATTTTTTTGTATCAGCGTGACTTCACTGTCTGTATTGATTTGCATGTTAAATATTTGGCCATTTATTCTTATTTTTTCTCGCCTTCTTTTTTGCATATTCACTGTAAACATTTCAGTCTCTTCTTTGGAGGTGGTTTGTACTTTTGTACTCTATTTTCTTTTCGTATTTGTATACATTCTGAAAATGGTTTCTTTTTTTTGCAATTTGAGCATACTTTTCCTAACACGGTACATTTGTACTTGTCTCTCTCGTGATTTTTTCCACCATATCTACATTTAATTATAGATTTGGTTGTGCTCATCCTGTATGCCTCGAATTCTTTTTTTGGTTGACTAAATTCTCTAATCAACTCCAACTGTTGTAAAAATTTGACATTAGCTTCCAAACCCATGTTACAACTTTGTAAACCTTCTAGTATTTTTCGTTTCTGGTTCTGGTCTTGCAATCCTTCAATTATTCTGAGAAGAATTAATTCATCTTCTATGGTCATTTCCTGAGTTCACAATTTTTCAAACTCACAGTACTTAGCACATTCTTTTAATCTATGTAAATACTGTAATGGACTCATTTGGTGCTTGTCTTGTCTCTAAAAACTTTGTTCTTTCAGCAGTGACCAATCTTTTCTTTGGTCTTATGTCCTTTTTTATAACGTTAAATTTCTTCAAATGTCATTTCTTCTAATTCACTCAGGTAACACATTGTCAAAAATTTCTTCACCGCTTTGCACCCAGCACTAACAAGAAATAAATCCGTTATCTCATTCTCTCCTCCTTTGGTTTTGGTGTCTCTTAATTTTTTTACTCTTGCAAATGCCACAAAAGTTCTTATCTTTATGTTTCTATGTGTTCTGGATCTTCCAGCACATTCAAGGATCCTATTGGCGATGCCATTGTTATGTAGTGTATTTCTCTCTGGGTAGTAGCAATTGTATGCCCAGTTCTCCATGTTACGTTTTGCAAACGGGTTCCCTGACTAATGTTGCTTTGTTCACCCTCTGCTCTCTATTTATGTTGTCATTCTTATTTGCATATGATACTACAGTGGCATTTAATTTATGGCTCCTCACTTGTTAGAATTTAAATAAATATTAAAAAACTGATAAATTATGAATTAATGTGTTTTTTCTTTTTCTTTTTAAATAAAATAGAGGGTATATAAACAAAAACAAGTTATCTTTCTTTTAATATCATTAAAAAGTTTTTAAAAAGAAGTAATGTTTTCGTTTTTTTACAAATCCCTAGTTTTATTTTTAAAAAAATAAATAAAACACAATTCTACTTTTATTTCATAATTTACCAGTGAAGAGTTATAAATACCACATTAACAGAAACACAGAAAAAAGCCTGGCATCATACAGGCATTAGATTCTAAGAAATGGATAAAAATATTAAAAATTGATGGGTGTACAAATAATTTCATTGTTGACTATATATATATATATATATATATATATATATATATATAAACTTTAAGGGGTTAATGTGCATTGTAATATTGTATTCCTTCTGATGAGGGGCAGCAAACTTGAGTGCAGCCCCGAGCGGCAAAAACACTAGCTATGCCACTGTAACCTGCAAATATAAATACTTAGAGATCATGGATTATATGAGATAGTATGATTAATGTTCAACAAAAAATAGGCTTATTATTGATATTTTCTTGATTTTTCTTGATTTAATATTTATCTTTTAATTTACTGAGTTAAAATTACTATTTGATTAACTGATCTGCAGAGTATAATGCACCTGATTGTATAATTTAAATAACATTACAGCATATGGAGAAAAATGAAACTACTTACTGAGAATCTCTTTAGTGATGTACTCATGTAATCCTCCCATTGAATACACACATTGTAAGGAAGATAGAGGATATAATAAATAAACCCTCCACATATTGCTGCTAAGTTGGCACGGGAAAAAAATACACTAATAAGGAAACACAGGGAAATTGTAGCAATGGAGAAACAAACCATGAAAAGAAATAGCAAACCAGCATTTGATCGATCCAATACATGACCAAGCTATAAAAAAAAAAAAAAAAAAAAGATTATCATTGCCATAATAATAATTCATAAGGAAACATTGAGCACTATGCTAAAACAAAATATTTAAAAACACACACACATTATATATATGCAATCTGTTTTTAGTTAAAAGCAAAAAGTGAATCAAATAGCAAACATCTTTTTTGATATGCACAGGGTTAATTTGCAGTATAAGCACCAAAAGCCCCCAGTATTGTGAATGTACCATTCTGGTGTAAAACCATTCCTGGTTGTTTCAAAAATGATGTTAAAACATTGCGCTCAATTACCATTTTCAATTTATCATCAGTGTAAGTTTGGTCTCTTTCATGTTGCCCAGCTGCCATTACTGATGTTGTTTACATAATTTTCCTCTAGTATTAATGCACGGAAGCTTACTTAGTTGACGGCCTTTTTGTATCTTACTTGTCTTGATTACTGCACAATTTTTGTGGATGTTATTTTAAAATGTGCATATTTTGTAAAATGAAATTTTAAATGAATAGTAATTTTTCTTTATTGTCCTAAATAAATTGGCTCATAGATAATGAAACAGAATCTCACCCTAAGTGGAATTTATGAATCTTTAAATTCAAGAAATTTTCACAACACATAAAAAAAACTTTGTTGAAAAAAGGAAAAAAAATTATTTTTTTTTTTACTTTTTAGGCACCTAATTTTTATTTTATTTTAATTGTCGGATTTTACGTTTTTCATGCTTTATTTCACACATTCATTTCAAACTTTCCAGTAATCAAGACAAGTGAAGCTTCCATACCGCATGACTACTTGAGACAAATATTAACAAAGCCAATAATGGCAGTCATTCTGTGTACACAATGAGAAAGTCGAACTTACATTGTCTATAACTTCTAAACGTTAATTGAGCGCAATGTATTAATGTCATTTTTTAAATAACCAGACAATTTTTCACCAGAATGATACATTCTCAATACCAGGGGAATTTTGTTGTTTATACTGCAAATTAACCAGGCACAGAAATTATAGAAAACATTTATTTGTACTGAATAACGAGTTTTAAAGAAAAAAAATAATCACAAATTCTTGAAATATTTTATATTTTCAAAATATTTTTTAAAAAAATATCACATTCAAACTTTTCACAAAAAATAATTAATACTGAGACAAACAACAAAGAAAACATGAAATATATATGGAAATGAAGAAAAAAACCTTAATTTTTATGATTTATATTTAAGATATGAAAGTCAACTTTCAATGCTTAATTGATAATTAATTATTATACCCACAAAATCATTAACTCTTTCAAGCTCTGTATTATAAGCTTTATTCTAATTGGTTAATCAGTAATGAAAAAAATTGTGAAACACCACATACCTTTAAGGTCATAACTAACAATATAACAGAAAGTGTCATAATAAGGAAAGCATCACAAAACCAAGCTAGCCAATGCACACCATTGCCAAGTCCCATTATTTTCATAACTTCCTTTAAACGTTTTTCTTTCTCATACACAATGCTCTTCACAATCATGGCAACAGAGAATATCCAAGCCAAAACCATAAACAAAGGAAGGCTTTTTGATATGGTCTTAGTAAATCTGAAAACAATTAGAAAAAACAATTTGTATTTTATATGAGCACATTCATTTGAATGTTAGGTAACAAACATATATGAGAATTGTATTATGAAATTTTATAAACAATTTTTCTTTGCAACAAATATTTCTTAAATATTTTAATTTCATGATAAGCATCAAGTTTGTGTATAAACTTATAATTTTAATTCAACATTCATGTACACCATTTTCTTCTATGTGCCAGGTCACTGCAGGATGTTTGCAATCATGGCTCGCCACAATTTTCTGTCCTTTGTAGCTCTTACTAAATATTGTCTTTTTGTTATCTCTCCTAAACTTTGTTCCACCAAATATTTACTCAAGCTTAGTAAGTAGGTTATGCATTGTTTTCTTCCGTTCCTCTTGCCTTCAAGTTGTCCTGTGAGTATTAAATTTTCCAAGCCTTATCTCATTATATGCCCTAGAAATTTCAACTGTCTCTTCCTGATGTTAAGTATAAGAGTCCTTTTTGTTTCCATTTTCTCAAAAACTTTGTTGTTGCTCACATGTTTGGTTCATGGTATTCTCAGCATCCTTCTGTAGAACCACATTTCTGCTGCTTCAAGTCTCTTCTTCATCTGTGAGGAGATTGTCCAGTATCCACTGTCATATAAGAGGACTGATATTACATAACAATACTATATTCTGATATTACATAACAGTACTATATTCTTTGTTTGTAACAAAATTTTTCTACAAGTAAATAAAACTATAACTGGTGACCAAGAAGTTCCAAGTTATGTTCTGATACTTTTGACATATCAAAACTCTTTTAATAATGACCAGTGATAGAGAAACTACATAATCAGCTCAAATAATAGTGAGCTATAAACACTTTATTCAGAATTCAGAAATATTTTTATAAAGAAATCAACAATATATTTCTTTTAAATAAATAGCATAAAACAAACACAGCTGTTTCATTGAGTAAATTAGTTTTTAAAAAATTAGAAAAACAATGAAAACTAACTTATCTTGCAGGTAACATGGATAAGGGAATTGTTGAGTGAAAATTCCAGTGATGCTGTCTTGTCCTGTCTGTTCTCTAATGATTGCATTGTCAATCATATCTTGAAGATAAATAAAACCAAAGGTGAGATATTTCATGTCTGGTAAGGTACGAGCTCTGGGACCAGGAGTCCACCATCTGCAAATTAAAAAAATTTTAGTATTTAATTTCAGTCTAAAACATACAGCTGTTATTTAAAAATACATTTTAAAACTTTGTAACAATTTTTATTGTAAAACTTCATATGTAAACAAAATTCAATGTCTTCAAATTACTTAAACTTTATTTTGCACAATTTTTCTGTGTTGAAATGTGTCACAAAAGGTCTTTCTCCTACTGTCGTAGGGACAGGCACAGTCTCCACTTCTGAGACTGAAACTGCCCTCCTTTGCATTCCAGCCCTTTACATAGAGCTTGGTAACTCACCTATGCAAAACACCAAAAAGCCAGCTACCAATCACAGTTCCCGCGCATGTCCACCTCCACTCACTTTGGGGGTGTCAAGTTGACCAACCAACTCATTACATTTTCTTCAAGAATTCCAATTTTAGATTATATGTACATAACACCTCTTTTGAAGAATAATTACTCAAATTAATATTCATTATCTAATATGTATTTCACACCATTTTTATTAATAGTATGACAATTATATTACATTTGAGTGATAAAAATTACTCATTAGTAGCAATAAAATAAGTGCAATATTAATAATTAATATAATCCAAGCTGTTTATGTAATTTATATTATATGTAGAAATTAAAACTTTAATTCATTCTAGTGATTATATATACAGTGATACAGTAAAATCTGAGAATAAAAGAAATAGCCATAGTCTTATTTTGGCACCTATTGTATTTGAACCCATTATACACAACTAAAGTTTCAGTTTTTCTTATTGTTACCCACTGACTTTACTACTACATAACAGTACCCCATTTAGCTTTAGTCATTCTCTACATTAACAAACCAAATATTTCTGATAAGTAAAATTTGATGATTAATTGTATAACTTTTGGCCTAAAATTATTATTAAACAGAGAGAACGATTAAAGAACAAGAATTAAGAGGACAAAAAATAATAATTGATATGCATTTAAATTTTTGAAGATCAAAGTTGAATGGTAAGCAAGAAACAGGCAGAGAGTTCTACAAGCAAGAAGGGTAAGAGAAGAAATGGTTAGCACAGAACTTACAGCTACATCTAACCATTTCAACTCTAAATTAATGAGACCTTGCTGCCAATCTAGTATTGCACTTAAATTCATAGTCTAGGTACCACAAAGAACAATTATCATGAAAATATTCATAGAAAAGAGACAGGGAAGCTATGTTATGACAGTGGAAAAGCAAAGGTATGATGACAGGTGAGTATCAATAACATTGTCAGGATTGAGTCAAGCAGTCTATTTATTTAATAATAACCAATCATAATAACCATCAAGCTTACATATTTACTCTGCCTTTATTGTTAAACTTTGTTTATCTACCATTTTTCTGTTTCTGAATGATGAAAGGTTTTCTTAATGGAATGTTAATAGCTTCTTGGCTTATCTCTTTCCTCTTTCTTCTACATAAGTACTTTATTTTTACTAGGTGTCTTCATTATCATCTGACTATGATGATAACATTAGGTACAAATTAACCAGAGATAATATCCGAGTTCTTCTTAAATGCATGAAGTGAAACAGTCTAGCTAAATAAATGGCTAATCAGATGGCAGCAGGTTCTCAGGATATCAGAGCTTTCTCTCTGCTTCAGTTGTGGAAGACTGACTGATTCATAAATACAGAAACTCACCATGAGTCTCTGTATTTATGACAAACAGGTTTTTTTCAGGTGTCAGGTTACAAGTTGATTTGAATATGGTCTTAGCAACAGGCTCAAAGAATAAGATTTGATGACTTCATCCCCCAGTAAGGAAAAAGAAATTAGCAATGTCAACTGTTTTTTGACCCCAACAGACAATTAAGCCAGAAATGGAAGATAGCATTAAAAAATAAAATTCCATAACTGAATTTTGGCAAAGACCTGAACTAGCATGATCCAAGCGATTTATCTCAATTGTCCTTTTTCCAGCACTGAATAGGGTTAAAGATACACTTTGTTGCACTTGATCCTATGAGTTAAAATTCTATTAAATCAAATTCAAACCTGAACAATTCCAGGTACTAATTTATTTTACTATACTAAAATGCATCTTGCAATTGATTTTTTAAAATTTATCCTTTATTATATCTATAATACATAATTCACACTAATTTGCCTTCTAATGGTATGACTGTCATTTGATGAGTAGCTGAAAAAAGACCCTACATGCAAGTTGTTAGTGACCCACTGGAAACTGCAGATGGTAACACCAGTGGTTCTCTGATGGTAGCTACTGGTTGGCCACCAACAGGCCTCTAGTAGTCCATTGCTGAGATGAACACACAAGCGGCCAGACAGTAGGCCACCTGCAACAAACCCTAGTGGCATGCCACCTAATGGCAGATTGGTGGCTTGCATGTAAGGGACCAAATATTCTCTATAGGGTTCAAATCAGGACTATGACTAAGTACAAGTATGAATCAAGTGGACTTTATCTAAACATATGAGTATGAGAAAGAGCATTAATACAGTGGGGGAAAATATATAAACATTCCTCATTAAAACAAACAAAACAACTTTTCATTTGAGAGGAAGTCTTTCTGCAATATTCTAATGTATTGCAAAGCACTGACTTTTCACAGTGAAGCAGCTCACCAGTAACCACAGCTGAAAAGGCTCTCCACACAATGATACTTTCTCTCTATGCTTAACTATGGTAGAAGATGATTACTGCATTTCTCACCAGACCTTTAAGGACATCTCCCTGGAGCATCATTGTTAAACATAAATCTTGATTCCACGCAAGTCTGTTGAACGACACCGTATTAAACTTTCCATATTCTACCTAGAACTTCATTCTGTCTTTGACATTTATCTGAGAAAGTAACAGCTTTTTAGCTCTATTTGATAATTCTGGTTATTGTTCTTCTCAAAAGGATCTTGTTTTCCAATGTCTTAGATTTTGTTAACAGTTTTTGTAAGCTTTTTTCTATTTTTAGGAACTGTAAATTTCAGCAGGTGGCTATCCCTATATAATATATCTTTGGGAATTGCAGATTCTTTCTTTCAACATTACTTACTGTTTGAAAGCACGGACCTATTCTCTTAATAACTGATAGAGAAGCAGGGAGCTCCACTGCCTTTAGGGCCTTGTAAAAATAATAAAGCTAGAATTGGCTTGAAGAAGACCAGCTATACAGTTTCTGATAGCAAACCCCTATGTGACATTTTGCTTTACTATAGACTAACAATACTACATACGGTAGATCACAATATTTATTTTTGCATAAAAAAATCCAAAAATATGGCACATTGCTGGAAAACCGAGAAGAATAGGTTGGTCTTCACTATTATAGCATTAACTTAGCTTGTCACATTTATTGCCATAACTATTTTTTGTTATTTCTATCACCATACAATCACACTTATCCTGTAAGCTTTCATGATTAATCAACAAAAAATAATGATATTCACTCAAAAATTCTACTGGAAAGCCACATTTACTATTTCATTTGAGAGTGGGGATACAAATTGATACATATTCAACTAATAAAATTTTTTCCCCCTCTGATTATTTAAATGAAACCAAATACATTTTCAAAAATGCATTAGTATGTGAGCCCCTAAATATTAATATAATAATAATGAAAGTAATTACAGCATATGAAAATTGAGAACAAAAACAGAAAAAGGAAAAAACAGCTAAATCCGCTGATATTGCCAGAGAAATTTATTGTCCTCTAATAAGTAGAGGATAAGTGAGAAACAAATATGAAGGATTAAAAAAAAATTAAAAGTTATCAAAGAGCATAATCTTTTTATTTTGTTAAATTAACAAAGCTTAACAAAATAAAAACAACCTTATTCTACCTTAACTGACAAAAGTCATTTTCAGACAAACAAACTTTCCCTAAAGATTTCAGTTAGCCCCCCGCCCTCACATGAAACAGTTGCACAGCATTAACTCACTTTTTGCCAAAATCTTTCTCCCTCCACATCAAGTAAACACAAAAACACAGTATTTCTTATTAACCCTAGAACACTAACCATGGATATATAGTACCCAGCACAAATTTTCCTATTTTTAATTACAATTTTCAGTACCTGATTTTCTTACCTAAATAATGTTTTTCAGTTTCTATTAATGTTAATTCTGGTTATTGAAGTTTGAAGTGCCTGCATGTAAAATATTTCAAATAAAGATTTATATTTTATTTTTTTTTTTGATATTTTCAAAATCGTGTATGATATACCCATGGTTAGTAGTGGTGTAACTTTAATTGATGGTTAGTGTTCTAGGGTTAATCAATGGTACCATATTGTTTACAAACAGAACTGGCTCCCAAGTACCTGAAGAATGCGGACCATGTAACCTCCAACATAACTGTTCAGTGAAATAAGTCATACGCAATAGGCTGCTCATATATTACCACAGTGGATGCATTCTGAAACACAGTAGCTGAAGTTGGTAAAGATGAAGGGGTAAAAATGTGAAGCACATACCTTAGCTCACCTCTTCCTTTCAGACCAGAGTTTAATTGCAGCCTCAGTTTTTTCCAAAACCTCTGATCAATTTTTTTCCAAGCCAAGTATTTTCTAATGGAGATGGGAAGAGGACACACTCCATTAGACCAACTGTAAGCTAGTAGACTTATGGTCACATTCCAATTTATTTGCTACCTACCTCAATATCAGCATTGCTTTTTACAAGTATGAACACAATACATCATAGGCACATGGCCAATGTGGTAGCACTAAATAATGTAACACACAGAGCGGACTCACCCTCAACTTGCAAGAGTGGACAATCTTGATAAATAGATCTACACAGCAAGAAAGGCTTTGATCTTAGATCATGGACTTCCACAGATCCAGAAAATGAATACAGTAGATGTATTCTGGGGCAAAAGTCCAGCTTGAAGCTGGTTGCAAATAAAACAGAAATGATGGTCAAGCATATCAAATGTCTTGAACTGATCTAAATTGATCAGTATAAGTTATCAATTTTCTTTAGGAGCATACCAAATGCTAATCTTGGATTAGTCTGTTAGGGGACTATTAAATGATACAGCAAAACCTACAATTGGCCTAAATCTGTATTTAAAATACTTAAGTGCTAAAAATTACTAATTGTATCTCTATCTTGTTTGCCCTTATGCAGTAACTTCATTAGAATTCTATTGGAGAGTATTTCTTTGCTTCATCAATTAAGTACTATCAAATGGACAAATATGTACAACAGTCTCAAGTAAATTTTTTTTAAGAGAGAACACCTATCCATAGAGACTAGTCCATCCTGAACTTTTTCAAAGCTTCCTGAATCTTGTTCTTCATTATGGGATCTTCACACTTAACTGCTTCAGTCATCTCACTGTGAAGAGAGTCAATTAAATAAGTGTCAAACTAAGCGGAACACAGGCCAGGTGACCTGCTGAAAAGCGCTCTGGTACTAGTCATGAAATTCCTCACAGATGCTTTCATTTGTAATCAAAAATCATCCATTTGCACTGGCAACATGCTGATCTTTAGAATTCGAAAATTTTTCTACACTCAATTCTGTTACTATATTCATCATTTTAATAAACGTTCTTTTTAACCTAGCTCACTTGATACTTCTTGTTAAATAAAGAGGCCAGTACTAAATTAGCTGTAAAAACTTAAACATCTTGCAATAAACAGCCCTGTCTACTGTAAATGTTAGTGACTATAATCAGAAGCAAATAACCTCAACTTCTATGAATGCTTCTAACTACAGCCCCCATCAGTTCCCAATTTAGGTTTAATATTAGCCTGAATAAAAGGGGTGTGAAGATGTGTCCCATGTCTTGCCCAATCTTCTGATCAAAGGTGATAAGCAAAGCTATTACAGCCTTCTTTTCCACATCAGAGGTGGGCAGAAGAGGATCCCACATTTTAATGTTTGGTTTCTCAGAATTAGAGCATTCACTCCCAGGCAAAGAGTGGTGATCAAATTCACCACAATATCAGTATGCTGTTTTATTCTTTTTTCCAGAAATGATGACTGGTAGCATTCCTCAAAGCCCAAACAGTTGGCAATAGAGCTGAAGGTTATTTAAAATTAAGTCAAAGCTCAATTGCTCAAGCATAATTTCCCAAATTTGGAGAAAAAGCATGACCAAATGATTTCCCAACATGTAGCCTTGGACCTCGTATACTAAAATCCTGGTTGTTTGTTCACTGGTCCTGATATTCTACATGGAATGTGCTTTCTTTAGCTTTCAAATTTCTTTTTGCCAGTGTCAGACTACCGTCAGCAGTGAACAACTGTATGTCCCATATGGGAAAGAACCTATCAGTTTTAGATCAGTTAGAACCTATAAGTGAGTTACTCAAATCTGCAAAAGACTATCTTGTTTGTTTTTTTTATAAACTACAAAAATAGATATGTTTTTTCTCAATGGTGGCTTGGACTGTTGTATAAATTCTGTGATAAAAGAAAATATTCTGGAGAGAGTTTTCTGGTATTAAGAGGAAACTCCCTTTTCTTTCTTTCCTGACTACCAATCAAAATAATCTCAATAAACAAACTTTTGTTGTCAAGTTGAATACAAATTTTAGATTTGCAAATGAACAAATGCAAAAGTTATTGCAAAACTATATGAAAAATAGCTTAGCAATTTGCCATTTAAGGTTTGACCCTTTTTTTATCACACAAGTGTAATTTCTTGATTAGTAGTCATTTTAGATTTTACAAGTATATTAATAGGATCAAACAGAAACAAATACATTCATAAAACTCTCCAGAATTCATTAATTTGGGATATTTTTTTCAAAGACAAAGCTAAAGGAATAATAAAGATTATGAAATAAAATGCATTGGGAATTCTTTTAGTAAATCTTTTAAGCTAAATTATTTAGAAATAATGCGATAAGTAAAAAGAAAAGGTTAAACTAACCTGTCTCGAATTCTGTGGGTACTGTCAACTTTGTCAGCATCCATTCTTATCTTATAAATGACATGTGTTGGTAATTTTTCTGTTTCTCCTTTCATGTCAAATACTAAGGCTGAAAAGATAATTCAAATTACAAACATAACAAAAAAATTATAAATGAAAAAATATTTTGATAAATTGAAAATGTAGAAATATTTCTTAAGTTTGTAAAAGATTTTTTCAATTAAGTATAAATTTTGAATTTGGGTAATGATATATTCTTAATGATATTATAATTATTCCATCATGCTATTTTAGCTACTATGACAAAAAAACAAAAAAACTCATAATATTATGGAAGAGCACCATAAAATTTTTACACTTTTCATAAATATATCAACAATCAACAAAAATTAATGATTTAAAAATATAATTTGACTTATATTTAAGTAGAATATGTAGAGATAAGTGTCATATAATGTTATTAAGAGAATAATTTTACAGGCAAGTTTTTACTTTGTAAATCTCTGAACAAGACAATAAAAAATATTTTCCTCTATATTTCAAGATAAATAAATTAGAAAATAAACATAAGAATTTAAAGTCAAAATATACATTTATATATATTTTCAGTCCATCTAATGTGAGGCAAAAGCTCACATCACTATACAACTGAAATCTTCATTCATCATTCCACCTTACTCAACTGAATCAAACAGTTTGCCAAAGACTTAATTCTGTCTTTGATGTTTATCTTTGAGAGATATAGTTTTTTAATTCTATGAGATAATCTTCTGTTAACTGTTTTTGCAGGCTATTTTCTGTCCTTGAGAATCAAATTCCAGAATTTTTATCTTTGCATTATGATGTTTTGGGTTTTCCAAATCCAAAAAAGAAAGGATGATAATGATAGAAAGAAATGGGTTGAAAAATTAGGAAGAAAACTGCAAAAGTTGTCTACAAGCTCTATTTGGTTTTAAGTACAAAGAATATGAAAAATTATATTTTCAACAAAAAAAAAAAAAAAAATTAATACTAAACTTTAACCTTGGACAAAATCAAAAATAACTATTCTTGATATTAAATTCTTAGTTAATTATATTATAAAAAGAAAAGTTTTACAAGAAAAATACATATGGTTAAATGAACATTTCATTCATAAATTGGCTTTTTATTATTATTAAGGAAAGTTTTACAAATAGATGCCAACTTGTTGAAATCTTTGAAACAAAAATGCAAATTTCAAACACTTTTCTGCATGTATATAAGACAAATATTCCTAAATGCCAACTATTTTTGATATGAAAATCAAAAAAACATCCTTCTGCACTAAAAAAACAATAATGAAAAACAGAACTATTAATGAAATAAACTTTTTTTAAATCAATATGCAAATTAATTAAACCTGAAGAGTGATATTGCCTTAGAATCAGATAATATATAATACATATATTGAGAAGTAGATAATATATAATTTGGATACATTCAAAATTTGATCATCCCACCCCAGGCTTCTGTCCCTGTACTGGTGGTATGAGGGAAAACACTTGGGTCCTCATGTTAAAACTGACCTTGTGTCATAACCCTACTCAGTGGTTGGTCAAGTAAATACTCCCTCAAGGGTTACATACATTCAGATATTTGCCAGTCACATGGATCTGTCCCTGCACTGGTAGTATCACAACTATCTTGGATGAGCTAAGACCAGCTATAACTAGCTTGGACAAGCTAAGACCAGTGGCCTGAGTGAACACACTCGGGTCCCCATGTTAAAAACTGACCTTGTGTCAAGTAAATCAACCCCTACCTTCAGGGACATACACATTTGGATACTGTACTGACTAGCTTGGACTGGCTATGACAAACTAAGCCCAGCATAAAGACACTTGAGTCCCCATATTTGGATACTTGCCGGTCACAGTGATCCATCCATGTGCTGGTAGTATCACAGCTATGACCAGCTGCCTGAGTAAAAACCATGTTAAGTGGGGAGTCAAGTAAACACATCTATTTATCATCTCTGTCTTTGGGCAGAGTGCACTCAAAGGACAGAGTTGCAACTGAGGAAAATTATACTGAGAGGTGCCTAGCCCTGGGGAACAGCTGCCTGAGGTCACATCCTCACACTGCACCAGAGAGAGGGATCGGGGTTCACTCCGAGGCCAGCACAATGGGGAATTTTTGTTCCTACCACTCAGGTTCCCACCTTAAAAAAGACCTTGTGTCAAAACTCATCTTAGTGGGGAGACAGAGTAAATACCTAGTGTGTAAACCCCTCTCTTGAGGCAGAGTGAACACAGGGGCGACTCCGTCAAAGGACAAAGTCGCACATGCTGAAAATTATATGGAGAGGTTCTGGCCTTGGGGAACAGCTGCCCAGGGCCACACACTCTCATTGCACTAGAGAGAGGGATCAGTGTTCACACAAAGGCTAAAATTTTCAACTGATGGTTGCAAAACTTTTTTTTTTTCCTGTTGGGGGTTGAGTAAATACAAATTACTCTCTCAAGTAGTTTGTAACACATCTCTGTTGCATCTCAGAGTGTGCTCAGGAGTAGCTCCATCAAAGGACAGAGTCGCAACTGAGGAAAATTATACTGAGAGGTGCCAGGCCCTGGGAAACATCTGCCCAATGCCATGCCCTCTCATTGCACTAGAGAGAGGGATTGGTGCTCACACTGAGCCAGCACAACCAACAGTTGCAAAGCTTCAGGAATTTTTGTTCCTAGCCTGGTTGTACATGCTCAGATCTCCAACTTAAAAACTGACTTTTATGTCACAACTCGTCTTACTTGGTAGACAATGTAAATATCATGTGTAAATTGCTCTCAAATAGTTTGTAACACGTCTACTTATCATCTCTCAGTTGTGTCTCTGTTTTTGGGCAGAGTGCACTCAGGAGTGGCTCAGTCAAAAGACAGAGTTGCAACTGAGGAAAATTCTTCTGAGAGGTGCTCTTCCAGAGGTTGTGCCCTCTCATGGCACCAGATAGAGGGATCGATGCTCACACTGAGGCCAGTTGCAACTGACAGTTGCTAGGGCTAAGGGAATTTTTGTTCCTAGCCCGGGTGTACGTGCTTGGGCTCCCCACATTACACTGACCTTGTGTCACAACCTGACCTCATGGGGGGTTGAGTAAATACAAATTACTATAAAGCAGAGCTGGGGCTTTTTAATCTCAGAATTTGTGGGAGAATTGAGCTCCAATTTCGCATTTATTCATATAGATTCCATAATATAGGTTTTACTTAATTAGCTATTATGTTTCTCTAACTCTTCAAATGTTGAATGTATAATTAATTCTAATTTCTATTTTCCCATTTTTACACTATATTAGTTTTATCTTATAAATTGTCCACTGTTCTGTCACCCATGAAATAAAAATATTTGTTTGTATGGAAAATAAGGATCTACGTACATCAAATCATCTTTAATTTAAGTGGCAGCGGAAGAATTATTGTTAAACTTTTAAAAAGTAAACTTAAACATTAATTCAATATTTAAATGAAGCGATCAATTTTGAGTTCTTCTGTAGTTTATTGATGCTCATCGCATATACTCCTTCCAAGCTATTGTGATGATGACCAAACCAAGAGTCCTCTACAGGAACTAGCTTAAATGCTGCCCAATAGGGTGACTTTTAAGCTAGCTTAAAATTTTAAATTTTTTGGGATACAAAAAGAAAATGAGAGTTACTTCCCTTGAACCATGAAAGCAATGCTAATGGTTAGTATAATATATTAATATATATTTTTAACCATGCATAATCTGGCACTCCTGAATCTGATCCCAACGAAAATCATTCCTAACTTTTCTAGGATTTTCCAATGAGCTATGTATCATTGAAATTGGACCAGTGTGAGCGGAAGAGATTCTTGGATATACACACACACAAACAACCACACATACACTGTACTTTATATATATAAGATATAAAAATATTATTCATTTTTTTTATATCAGGGATACACGGAAACAGAAAAAGAGAGAAAATACAACTGTATATCAAAGAAAATGCTTCAACTTTAATACTTACCACCTAATAATGTTGTATTCTCTACAAAAAGTATACTGTCTTTTACTAATGCTGATTCATTTGGATATGGCACAAACTTATCAAAGTTAAAACACTGTAAAGAAATAGTAAAAACTTAATTTGAAATAATCAAGAATATTATTTGAAATAAAAAGATTTATGCTTCATACAAATAATTTGATAAATCAAATTCTTCCCCATATATTGTTATAAATGATGAACACAAAGAAAATATTAAAAACAGTAGTTTTAAAATTTCTTCATTATAGACAATTTTTTCTTTACACTGAACTTTATTCAATCAGAATTAGCACTGAATAAAGTAGGCAGCAAAATCAAAAGCAAGCAGTTGAATAAATAGTCTTATCATGGCTTACTATTGTGACTCTTTCTATAACATGAAAGAATATTGAAATTGTAGGAACATATGTTGTTAAAGATTTCTCTGCATACTTATATCTTTTTGCTTCTTGTATGTATTTTTCATATTTGCTACTCTGACAGCTTTAAAAGCAATTGCATAATCAAAGAGAGACAAAAGCAATGTTTTATCATTTGCTGACAGCATTTCTTTTACAGATTTTTCATAGAAAACCAGCATTTCTAATGCAAAAATGGATTTACTTTTTTTACATGCTAAAATACTTCTGATCACACAGTGCATAAATATATATTTATATATTCTGAACCAGAATAGTATAATATAATAAAAATGCTGTGAGCAAAATGAATGTTTTGATTCGAAGTTTCTAGATGTGATTTATCTAAGGAAGAACACCAGTGAAAATATAGCAATAAAATAAATATATAAAGGATATTCATCCACTTAATTTAAGAAATCATAACAACACTTCACCTCAAAATTCTACACAATAAATGTCTAAAAATTATAAAATATAAACTTTAAATTGAAACTTTCAGATGAAGACTTTTTTGATTAATCAATTACCATATAAAAACCACTTTTTTCTCAACAAACTGGTTAAAAATTCCCCAGGTCTCATATATGAAGGTGAGATATCAGGTAGGCTAATATTTACCCATATATTGTATAGAGTACCAGGACTTATACCTTGCCTAACACTATTTATTCAAATATCATCATCACTACTACAGGTGTCTACCTGTGATATATTATAACGTTTTTTTTTGTAATATTCATTAGTGAAATGTAGAGTCTTAAATGTATCAAATTCAGCAATATAATCAATTGTTGGATAATTTATGTTAAAAAGTCATTCTCATAATTTCTCAAATACTTAAATATATTTTATTATAGGTTTCTTTCATGGTTCATATATATTTTGTATAAGGTTATATAGATATTATATTACTTTACAAAATCCAAGCACAAAGACCATAATTTACCTTTGTTCAAATGATTAATCTATGATTGAATATTAAATCTTTTTTATCATATATTAATATATAACTTTGTATAAGTCTAACATCTGTGAAATAATGTAAATTCTGAAATATTCAGAGAAATTTATCAAGATTCAATTTCACAGAGAAAATATTTTCTTGAATTAAGCATACTGAACTATTTTTGTAAAAAACAAAATGATTTTATATAAAAATCATTTTGAATAAACTTTTCTAAAGAATAATATATTTTTCTTCAAAAAATAATGAAAGTTACCAGAGTTAAAAATTGATACTAAAAACAACTTTCTTAGCAGGGCCAAACAAAATTCTTTTTCTTAAAATTCTAAGCTGTATTCAAAATAATAAAAATTAATACATTTCCATTATTTTTCCTCAAGAAAAAGGAAGCATGCTTTTCTTTATTCTTTGAAAAAAATGACCAAGTCTTATTTCAGTGTTATTTAATGTATATAAGTGAAAATTATCTATGTTTTTGACTTAAAAAAAATATTTCATTAATTTTATGAAAAAATGCACATGGAGTATTGAATACATATTTTTATAAACAGACACAAATGATCAGCAAATCAAATCCATTGCATATTAATATAAATTGGACATTTACCTTTGAATATTTACTAAAGGCTCTCATCATATGCAATGTAGAGTTCAGGCTTTTCTCCCAATGATATTCTGACGCATTTTCTGGACTTTGCTCTTGAGTTTGAAAGAATTTTGCATAATCAGTTTTGCACAAATCAGTAACATCAGATGTATTCACCCGATCAAACACAGGGGTCAAAAGTTGTGGACTAGCATTTGTACAAAACAGTGTCTACAAAATCAAAATCAAAATTCTATTTAGTCTCAAAATGAAATACTAGAATCTTTTCTGGGATGTTCTATGAGGGATGCCCAAAAAGCAAGGTAAAAACATTTATTCATCCAACAAGTTTATTATCACAAAAAAACAAAACAAATAAATAACATTGTGCATATATTACTAGCACTACTAGTTAAAAAGATAACCTGAATGAATCTAGTTAGGATTCTGTTGTGGATATCATAAAATTCCCTAACAATATTGCTAGAGCCACTCTTTTATCAAATTAGCCATATGTGGGATAGTTTTGTCATGCAGCAGGATGACACCTTTACAGAAACATCTCATCAACAAATTCATGAATCACTGACTTATGGTCAAGTTCCACAGCCATATTACAAAGTTTGCATCAAAGCTTCAACATGTTCAATGTTGTCTTCTGTTGATGATGAAAGTATACTTCTCTGGACTGACTGATTGGTATTCATTACAAGTTCATGGTTGTTGTTATCTTTGTTGTGACATCACATATATATGCACTCAATGTTAAGGCTATTCTGTTAAAAAAAAATGTTTCTTTGTGCTTTAACAATTTTTTTTTTTAATATGGATCAATTTATGCCTATCTGCACTTTATTTTTCAGACATCCCACATATGATTAATAGAGTATTTTTAAAGTAAAAAATGTTATAAAATGTGAATTTAAGTTCAAATAAAAAGTATGCTATTACTCAAATTAATAAATGCAAAAGTAAGGAAACTACAACTATCATTTTTTTTTACAATTCCAATATTCTTTACAAAACATTTATTAATTTTGTTTCCCAAGGAAATTATTGTCATTCTCTTTGCCGTGTATGATATTTTGAATACAATTTATTAGAAAACAATAATGAACTTTTTAAGGTCAGAACTTTATCCAAATTTTTTGAGGACATTAAAATTTGAGAAAGGATAAATTTTTTCCAATTGCTTAGAAAACAATTTTTATGTTGTGGGAATTGTGATAATGCATTTATACAAACAAACAAATTTGACCCAATTTTCATGCTAAATTCTCTTAATGCTAACATTTTTGTTTCACATTTTATAGCAAATATTTTACAACCTTGATTTGTTTATTAAAAACATCATGAAATCATTAATTTGTGAATTCCTATGATTATATTAAACTATGAAAAATTAATGGAGTGCAGTACAATTTTTTCAAACTTCAGTAAATACATCAAATAACTGAGTGAATCCCCTGCAATCAATTTACATGGTGAAAATAAACATTTAAAATAAACAAAAAATAAAGTTGAAAAGTTACTTACAATGACTTTACTAAGGTTCCTTAAATTTCTTAATAATTCTCTAGGATTGTTAGCAACATCAGCACACCTTCTCATGAATATTCTTAAACTTTCAAAGCTTTCACTTGCCTGTAAGAAATTGTTTTTATGAGATTTTTCTGGAATTATGATATAAGGAATCATTAATCTTTTTGACATTTTCATTACTAATTTCTAATAGTCATAAATTCAATCTGCTTCGTATTTAACATGCAATCAAAAAATTATTCTTACAAGAATTTTAAAAATTCAATATTTTTTATTAAAGACTTTTTATAATTAGCACTGATTAAAATGCCATAAATGTAAATAAGGAATAATACATTATAAGATAATGACAAAAAGAAATTAAGTAAAACCAATTAATCATCAATGCATATTTAGAATAAAGTATGAATGAAGGAAAATTAATTACATTATTTTGTTTGCTAAAATTTCTGATTCTTTATCAGTGAATATTTAGATATACCTAATAAAATTACACAAAGCAATTTGCATTTTATCATTATTTGAATATATTTTAAATGGTAATGCTAAGAATGTAATATTTCTGTTTTTTACCTTTAAGATTATTTTACGCACTATGGGTGTATCAGGTGTATAAGGTATGACACCTAATAAAACAGATTTAAGAATGTTTTTCCATATCAGTCGTGTAAGAGGGTTGGTTTCTAAAACTTTGAAAGCAGCTTTACAAAAATCAGCTAAAATAAAAATATTAATTTTTAAATAAAGAGAAGCAATCAATACAATTACAAATAAAAGATTTATATATATCAAATAGTGGGTAGGTAAATGAATGAAAAAATATTTTTTAAAAAATGACTTGTTTCATTCCAAGAAAGAAGTTGTTCAAATTAATAAGTTTTATTGCTGAAATCAGTCTTATCTTTAAAATGACAGAAAATTCAGCAAATTCCACTTACAGTTTATATTGAAATACTAAAGATATATATTAGTTGTTCATTGTGATAGGTTTGACCATAATTTTGACTTAATGAAATCATTATTATGAAATAATTCTAAAATTGCTTTTTCATATTAATTATGAATTAGCTAAGTTTTAGAATTTTTTTAAAGTGTCAGCATTCAAATTAAAAAAAAAGTTCCAAGACTGTGTAAGAAATATCACAGTCAAAAATGAAAATCATTAAGAATAATGATGACTAAATGACAGCTGATATTTATGCTGATATTTACTTACACACTGAGCTATCCAGTTCTTCAAAGTTTGGTTCTATAGCTGGACGATTTCGATAGTCTTCAAGTCTGCGTGCAATCTTTGACTGTTGGCTGCTTCCAAACTCTAGGGCTTCAGATCTCCCACAGAAAAGGTGGCTGATACTACTCATCAAACTAGTGGTGTTGAAAGTGTCATTATTATTTACCCAAGATTCAAGTTCATTTATTTGCTTTAATGTGTTCTCCCAATTTGAAGATAATAGAAAAAAACTCTCAGTACCTTGAATGGTTTGCCACTGAAAGAGAAATAAAAATCAAAGCAATTTTTGCTAAAAAGTAATACTTTAAAAAAATAAAAAAGGTTTGTTTCTTCAGACAAATTAGAATATTGCTTCCTAAATATCTATTTTTGTTTACATCAACATTTGAACTTTGAAAAATATTAATTGTTGTAATTAAATGATTCTTAAAAGAGGAATATTTCCTTTTTCATAATAAACAAGGTTAAGGCAGCAATATTCTAGGTTTTGGGTTTTCTATCATGGAATCCTCCTAATTTCACCTTCCAAAATTCATGTTTACATCAAGTACAGTAATTTTCAATTTCATTTACATCTTAAAAATTTAGGATTCTACATACAGGAAAATACTTCTAAATCTACAAATACTTCTAGGATATCTACATACTAAAATACTTCTAAATATCTACATACTAAAATACTAGGATATCTACATACTAAAATACTTCTAGGATATCTACATACTAAAATACTTCTAGGATATCTACATACTAAAAATACTTCTAGGATATCTACATACTAAAATACTTCTAGGATATCTACATACTAAAATACTTCTAGGATATCTACATACTAAAATACTTCTAGGATATCTACATACTAAAATATCTTCTAGGATATCTACATACTAAAAAATACTTCTAGGATATCTACATACTAAAATACTTCTAGGATATCTACATACTAAAATACTTCTAGGATATCTACATAAAAATACTTCTAGGATATCTACATACTAAAATACTTCTAGGATATCTTCTACTTCTAGGATATCTGCATACTAAAATACTTCTAGGATATCTATCTAAAATACATATCCTGCTAAAATACTTCTAGGATATCTGCATACTAAAATACTTCTAATATCTGCATACTAAAATACTTCTAGGATATCTACATACTAAAAATATTCTTATCTGCATACTAAAATAGGATATCTGCATACTAAAATACTTCTAGGATATCTATATACTTCTAGGATATCTGCATACTAAAAATACTAAAATCTAGGATATCTACATACTAAAATACTTCTAGGAATCTACATACTAAAATACTTCTAGGATATCTACATACTAAAAATACTTCTAGGATATCTACATACTAAAATACTTCTAGGATATCTACATACTAAAAATACTTCTAGGATATCTACATACTAAAATACTTCTAGGATATCTACATACAAAATACTAATAACATACTAAAAATACTTCTAGGATATCTACATACTAAAATACTTCTAGGATATCTACATACTAAAATACTTCTAGGATATCTATCTTCTAGGATATCTACATACTAAAATACTTCTAGGATATCTACATACTAAAATACTTCTAGGATATATCTACATACTAAAATACTTCTAGGATATCTACATAAAAATCTAGGATATCTACATACTAAAATACTTCTAGGATATCTACATACTAAAAAACTTCTAGGATATCTACATACTAAAATACTTCTAGGATATCTACATACTAAAATACTTCTAGGATATCTACATACTAAAATACTTCTAGGATATCTAGGATATCACATACTAAAATACTTCTAGGATATCTACATACTAAAATACTTCTAGGATATCTACATACTAAAATACTTCTAGGATATCTACATACTAAAATACTTCTAGGATATCTACATACTAAAATACTTCTAGGATATCTACATACTAAAATACTTCTAGGATATCTACATACTAAAATACTTCTAGGATATCTACATACTAAAATTGGATATCTACATACTAAAATACTTCTAGGATATCTACATACTAAAATACTTCTAGGATATCTACATACTAAATTGAAATCTACAATTGGATAGCTGTTCAATGTCAAAAAAATAGAATTAAAAAAATTAGAATTAAAAAAATAAAAACTGATTTGCTGAAGATGTAAAATCACAAAATTTAAATATTAAAGAGAGAGGGTTAAAAAATAGTCATAAACAAGATCATCACATAACTGCATTGTAAGGATGTAATCCCTGGGGATTGTAATACATAGGGGCAATGAAACAGGAATAAAAATGTAAACAGTCAATAAAATTAAGCCTATAGATTTATTGATACTTTCAACAAAATCAATATTTAAACATCAAACACATGATGTTAAGTGAGGATTAATCAACACAAATGTTTAAACAATATATCATAAACCTTGAAATGCACCAAAATTTCAACATATCAATGATAATTGTTACACCATACAGATGAAAACAGTACAATATGAATACTCAGTTACTAATCAACACCAAAACATGTCTTTACAGAGAATTGATTTATAATTGGCTTGAAGTCAATGATATTCAGAATGTCATTTCCTATGCACATAATTATAATCTAATTCAAATGCTGCTGCCTCATTACACGATAAAATTGA